TTGCTGAGGCCAAGGGGGTGATGGACTTTCGGCCGGAGGATGTGAAGGCGATGTTGGCAGCGGGACAGCTTCGGGAAGAAGCGATAAGGGCTGCGGAGTTGCCGAAGTTGCTGGAGCGAGAATGATGGACCGAAGCGGGAGCACATCATGCACCACGCGGAGAAGGCCCATCAGAGGTGGTTGGACATGCGGCCGGTGGAGAGGCTGAACGTGGTGTCGGAAGAGCCGGGATGTTTGGAAAGTACCAAGGCCGGACTTCTGCTCAGAGTCTGACGATGTCGGCAGCGGCTATGGTCTTCAAGGTCCTGACGATGTATCAGCCTGGGGGGCCCGCGGAGAGGCAGAGCTTGCTCAACTACCTGGTGGAGCCGAAGGTGAATGGCAATACGGTTCCGGGGAAGGTGCTGGCAGCGGTAAGACAGTGGAGGAGGTGGTAGATTCGAACCACGGAGCTGAAGCTGGCAATGCCGGACCCGTCGCTGCTGTGCAGGGCGTTGGATGGCGTGACCAACGGCATCGCGAAGGAGGGAAGCCAGGTCCACTTTCGGCTGAGTTTGTTGAGGAACAGCCTGGGGGTGGATGTCTCCCCGACGCAGGAAAGCATTGTGCAGCTGGCGGAGTTCATTCAGGCGGAAGTGGAGGTGATGGTTGCCTCTAAGCCTGAGGAGAAGGGTTCGAAGGTGAAGAGCGCAACCAAACCCCACAGAAGGAAGGAGACAAGAAGGTCTGTGAAACTGGCAGCAATCGCAGCAGCAGAAGCCCAAGGTTGCGGTAGAGAAGGGGATTGTGGAGGAGCAGCCAGGGGCGGAGGGGCCGGGCAGCATGTCCTTGACTGTGCGAGGCGACGGGGTTGCTGAAGTCGTTGAAGACAGTGAAGGCGATCCGGGTCAGGGCAGTGAACGCCGAGGAGTTCTTCGGGCTGCTAGATGGAGGAGCTACTCAACGCTTCGCCAAGCCAAGGAAGGGGAACTTCAAGGTGACGGTGACGGTCGAGTTGGCGGCAGGGACGGCAGCGGCACGATCGGCTTGACCTTCTCCGGCGACAGCAACGTCCGGGTGTCCTTCTGCTGCCATAGCTGGCAGGCATGGTCGAGATGGGCTACGGCATCACTTGGAACAACAAGGGTCGCATCGTCTCACACCCGGCAAGAACGGCTGTCCTATGGTCAAAGCTCTCTTCAGCTGACTGAGGACTTGGAGAACTTCAGCCTGAACAGGAGGAGGAGACCGTGATGGCCAAGTGGAAGAACCGCTGGGCGGAGGTGCCGGAGGCGGTTTGGGCAGTTCTGGAGATGGTTGAGCCGGCAGGGCCGTTCAAGCAAGCAGGACTTCCACGGAATAGAAGAATGAGGAGGAAGGTGGAGGCAGCTAAGAATGTTGTCCTGCATCTTTTCTCGGGGAAGGATGGGCACCGCTTGGTGGTAGTGTGCCATGTGCGTGATGGTGCCGGGGGCAAGCAACCAGTGAGGGCGCCAAGGTCGGTCTTGGGCACGGAGTACTATCGCAAGATCTCTCAGAGCACAGATCGGCATTTTTGGAGGCAAGAAACTGGGGAGTCCCTCTGCATGGACTTCATGGAATCCAAGGCCCGGGGGAGCTGGTCAGGAGCAAGAAGAACGAGAAGCTAGGTATGGGCAAGGAGAGCAAGGTGACCTTGATCGAATGGCGGTGTACGTCAGCGAGGTCAGTGCAGGGATCGGGCGGCGACAGCTGGCCAATCACTTTGAGTGGTGCAGCGTCAAGCTTGAATGAGGAGGAGGTATTTGACTCTGCAATCGGATCGTGCAAGGCAGCGGAGGCTGGATCAAGCGCGAGCTGACGGCGCAGGAGGCAGAGGAGATCAAGGGCGAAGACAGACAGTGATGGCGTAGTAGCCTTTTAAGGAAGTCTGTAGCCCTGTAGAGTGTGGGGCCAATGGAGCCAACCACGGTATGGATGCAGAGCATCCAGGGGGAGTGTGTGAACTGTGTGAACCCGTAAGTTGCGGGCACATTTGTGGCTCAAGGAACACAAACAGCACGGTGCTGCGCACATAGTAACAATTGTACATTGGAAGTTGCCATTGCTGTGAACTTTCCGTGTCGAAGGAGCGAATTCGCGGAGCAGCACTCCCTGCTACACACGCGAGTGCGAGGCGGGGCAGGCAACTCCAAAGAGGCTTCTGAGATCGGGCGTGTAGCAGCGAGCGCCAGTGAGCGCTGGTGAGCGTCACCAAATGGGTGATATGAGGACGCTCTAACTCTGGCAAGCGCATTGTAGCCTGGCAATACACGCAATACCTCCAGCAGGAAGCATGGGGTCGGTCTTGGGCGCTTGGGATGGCAAGAGAGGGGGAGAGGGACCAACTCATTTGCCTCGCAATCACGTGAGTCCAGCAAACTTGTCCGCCAGTTCTGCCGTTCACGCCTGCGCAGATCCAAACAGGGAGACAAAGGAGCCGGACTCAAGCGGACTGGGACACAAGTGAGTTCGTTTCAGGAGGGCGGCCGCGCACCATCCAACCCTGGCATTCGCCCACAAGCTGGGAAACAACTCAGTTTCTTATCACGAAATCCTCAGAGCCACCAGCCACCGAAAACGGAAGACATATGAAATCGATTGCACTCCAACGCAGGCATCGTCCAACACATACACTGCGAGCCATGGGTTTGGCTTCTGCGCATAAGATGTTGTGTTGAGCAACTCATTTTGTTGCCCCTGTGCCCGTTTGTAGGATGTGCTTCCAAGGAGTTTTGCACCTTTGTGCAAACTGCAGGCACCCATCGATATCCAGACTTGCAATCTTTACATGCGTCCCGCACATGACCCTTGTGAAGCTCGATGTCCCAAATGCCACATGCTGTCAATGCTGGTCTCATTGTTACATGACCCGTCCGATTCTTGTTTTCGGATGCCCCAGGTCCAGCTGCTCTGCTTCCAAACCTGGCGCGGGCCGCTACCTTGGAAACAACTGCGCTTGGACGGGTGTTTCATTTTCCCGTTTTGGTGTGTTTTGAAAGGAAGGCAGCGGGACATCACTCATAATTATATATACATACATTATTGGGGGGGGGGGGAGTCCCCATTTCGGGACACACCCAAAAGCCTCGGTTTTTGTAGTAGCTTGACACCTGGAAAGGGCTCGGAATACTGCGGGCATGCAGCTATGTTTGATTTGAGGCCCTGGTTTCGAATTCTTGAACCTGCTTGCGCTTCCGGGTCCATTCCCCTGCGGCCCTCCCAGGCCGGAGCCTGGGGCGAAACGGCTACCAGGCAAGTGCGGAGAGTAAGGGTGGTGTTTGGCGCAAATCTAGGAGCTGATTTTCTGCCGTTTTGGAAGAAGGTTTTGCCCAAGACGCCGAGGCATTGAACAAATGCAAAGCTTGCTATCTTCAGATCCGCCCTTCTGGGTCTGTCTTGAGTCAGCCTTGGCATGAGATTCTCTAGCCTCTAGCATTCACTTTAGGGGGCTCCTGACTGAACCCCGATGTCCAAGCAGTCGACCATAATTTGTCAGTTGCCAGTTGGTCTTGAGACCTGCGACAGGTGCTGACCAACTTGCCGGGGCCGGGCCCGCCCCTCACAGCCCGGGCTTCGCACACCCAAACCTCGCGGGCCTCGCGGGCCTCGCGGGCCTCGCGGTCAGGGCCATCGGAGCCGGTGTCGCTGAGCGCGTACTCGCGCAACAGCTAAGCTAGGGCCGAAGGGATTCAGGAATTTCCGGGCATGAGAATCTTTCACGATTTTCCCCCCAGGCAGTGGAGAGTATGAGCTCGTACGGCCTTTAGGCATTGGGGGGGGTGGACTGCAAATATCTGCGGGGAAGCTCAGCGCCACTTCTGAAGCACTTCAGAAATTTGACAGGTGGAACCACTGCAATAGGAGAGTCGTGCCAACCGTAGTTGTGTTTGTTGCAAACAGTCGACTTTGCTTTCCTTTCAATCGCTGAATTGGAAGTCCCTGGATCCCGCATTAAGACAAAGCCCATGGCCCTCTTTGGGTGCCCGTGCCCGGGCATCGCTCCGAGAGCGATGCATGCCTCTTTTCTCGTGTGCTAGGGTCGGCAGCTCGGGAAGTAAGTAAGGAAGGAAGGAAGGAAGGAAGAAAAAAATAAAATACTGGTGGGTTTCAGAATCAGGTTTTACCGTTTCTAGTGAATCATGAAGAACAGTGCTGACTCATGAAGAACAGACCAGAACGCATTGCGTGTGATGTAAGGCGGCATGAAGAGCGATCCTTCACAACCATTCCAGTCTCACTCCAGCGGACATGCGCTGACAAACATTGTCATTGGTTCATTGTTTCTCACGTAGCTCCCGAAGCGAAGCCGCGCAAGAACGAAGCAAAGTCCTTTGATTGAAAGAAGGAATTCCACAAATGGGAAAAGAAGGACAGAAGCAAGGCAATAAGGAACAGAAGAGGGGAAGGAAGGAAGGAAGGAAGGAAGGAAGGAAGGAAGGAAGGAAGGAAGGAAGGAAGGAAGGAAGGAAGGAAGGAAGGAAGGAAGGAAGGAAGGAAGGAAGGAAGGAAGGAAGGAAGGAAGGAAGGAAGGAAGTTGTTCTGGGACACCAGAGCCAGACGTGACAACGACATCGAGTTTGCGTTTGGCCTCGTCCTTGTACCCCGGGTCTCACCCGCCGCACGGCCAAATTTAGGCACTGCGGATCGGGAGTCCCAAAGAGAGGCCGAAGTTGCGGGCAGGGGCTGAGCACCCCCCCCACCCTCCAAACATCAAAGATGGGGGGTAACCGCACCCTGAGTGACACTATTGGTATCTTGGGAACCGTGGACAGACGATCACGTTGGCAACTTTCCATGTCCGGAAGGGCAGCCTCATTTGCAGCGAGAATGTGCAAGGTGTCCAATGATTTGTCAACGTTGGCTCAAGCAATCCTTCCCACATTAGGGGTCGCAAAGCCGACAACAAATACAATTCTCACGAGCAAGCCATGCTTTCACAGCCCTTTGTTTGTGCGTCGAAGCATGTGGTGCCAAGAATCAGCACATTTAATGTTCTTTCCGTGTCGCGCTTTCTGTGCTCGGCATGGAGCCGGTGAATCGCCTTCCGCGGCCAGAGGAGGGAGCGGGCCCGTGAGCATGCCCAACAATAGGCGACCCTGAAGCTGGTTGGTCTCCCTTTTGGGTTCCACAAATCACCATCCAACAAGGGATCTCTCAAAAACCAGCTTGCCATCCTCCCCCAAATGTGCTGTTTCAGAGGCATGATCTTCTTATGGCAAGGTCACCTAGGTGTAAAACCAGCTCACCGTGTAGGTCGTTTACTTGGGGATCCAAATCTTCTCAGGTTGCGGAATAGCAACATCTGTAGATTGGGGGCCCCATTTTGGATGGGGCTCCTTCACTTTCCCTGTACTTGAGGTTGGCAGGGATGGTCATCGATATCTTGGTACCGACCATTATTTGACTGTTTCTCCAGGTAGTCAAAACCCTTTAACCCAAATACCACTTCTGGGGTGACTTCGTTCAAAGAATGAACATCGCATGGGCTCCCCTCCTCTCCTTTCTGGTTCCTTGAAACAAACGACACACCCATACAGTGGATGGACGAACTCCTGCATTCAGAACCCCCGGTTTCTGATGATTTTCGTTTTCATCTGCAAATGCCAACTTGTCTTTTGCTTACCACGGCTCGTTTCGTGCGAGCGGCAATTCGCCGCCATCCAATCCTGAGGACCCGGCGGCGCTGGAGCGCCTTGCGGAGGCCCAGAGCCTGCTCTGCGCGCGCGCGGTCAGCGAGGAGGCGCGTGGAAGAAGTCCCCGGGTTTTGTGCCCCGAAACTCCCCGTTTTCAGTGGCCAAGGGAAACTTTTGAGTGGCCACAAACTTCGGGCAAGGGAATCTTTTGTTGGTGTGTGGTGGTTTGAGGGTATTTTTTTTCAAGCTGGCTTGAATTGGAAGGACTAGCAAACTTAAAGTTGGAGATCCCCTTGAAGGCGTTGAAAGTGGGGGGGGAGGTTCCCTCAACGGACAAGCATTGGCCCACAACAAAGGCATATCCCTCTGAAATCCTTCCAGTGGAGATGGCAAGGCGCCAGACCCTTTCGTTCACGCCGATCCCCTCAATCGGCTTGGAAACGCAGGTGGCCAGGCAAAAAACTTGCTGCTGCTTGTTGCCACATGAGTCTGATACTATCTGGGATTTAGGCCGGTTGCGACCTATGGGGGTTGTGCTTTTGTTGGCGTCGTTTCTCTCCGCAGGGTTTGAGGTCGAAGTTTTTTTTTTTCAAGCTTGATCCTCAAGAACAAATGGCGGTTTCTCGAAGCTGACGAAAGATATCCCAGAAGTTCTCCGAAGACATGAACTCTAGAGACTTGCCCTTTCCCCGGGGCCGCAAAGAGGCTGATAATTCAATAAGGTCTCTGCCTGCACTTTTTCATTGGGTATGTCATGGGCCAAGCCCTAGCTGTGGTGCTGTGCCTGGTGGGCCGCTTGGGAGACACAGATCCCCGCTTTAGGCTTGTGGACAAATGTAAACAAGGGACGTCAATGGCAAGCCTCGCATTTGAAATCCCATTGATTCTGTCCCCCAAATGGGGGGACAGACCCAAGGCGGGGTGTTTCCCTTTTGTTTCAACTTAAATTTTGAAGGGATCCCCTCGAAAAAGGCACACCCACTTTCTGCTGGTTTAAGCAGGAGTTGCTTGAAACCTTGAGGACATGCTGCAAAGCACTGGCTCAGAATTGAAGGTCATATATAGAGCTGGATTCACGATGCAGGCAGCACCAGTTGCTCGGATGCCAATGGCAGCCTTTGAAGCATATTGGCACCGCTCAACGGAGCTCTTGCGGCCTGGCAAGAGTTGGGGGTGAGAAGTGGAGGGTGCGTTTCATGTGTTTCCCAAAAGCGACGGATCCCCTCTAAAATGGGACACCCCGCATATTTATTAATCAAGCAATCAACCAGGGTTTTTTGGCACCCTGCCAGCGCCATCACCGGCATCTTCCCTCCAGCCGCGTCCGGCCACGTCCGGGCTGGCACCGATTGGAGTGCCTATTCGCTGAGCTCAAATGACTCTCGGCTGATGGCACCAGCTTAGTTGACAACACCGATGTTCTTCAACCAGTTCCCAGGGCTTGATCGGTTCAAATATTGTTTGCTTCTATCCCTGTGTGCAGCCAGGCCAAACACGAAAAAACGTCTTCGCGGGCCATACAGTAAAGCTGTTTTTAGGATCCGGGCTTTTGATGCGCCACCCGCTTTCGGGACAGATGTTTGATTTGTTTAAGCAAAGGTTGTCACAGAAAATAGTTCTTGGGGGGCAGGTCATACTTTTCATGTTTTGTGAGCCTGCTCGGATCCAAGATTGTTTGTTCTTATCCTTTGGGCTTTTGGCAGCCAGGGCCAAACAAGCGAAATCGGCTGTAGGGCTTACATCTCCCTTCCATATTCCACCTTGCTGTTTTTTTTTGCTGCCATGGGAGAAAGCTTTGTTTTGTCGAAGGAGCGAATTCGCGGAGCCTCACTCCCTGCTACACACGCGAGTGCGAGGCGGGGCGGGCAGGCAACTCCAAAGAGGCTTCTGAGATCGCGCGTGCCAGGCTCCACATCGACGCTTGCAGCAGCGAGCGCCAGTGAGCGCTGGTGAGCGTCACCAAATGGGTCATACAAGGGCGCTCTAGCTCTGGCAAGCTAGCGCATTGTAGCCTGGCAATACATGCAATACCTCTACCAAGAAGCCGCGACTGCAGCTTACTGTCGTTTGTTTTGGCTGTATATTTCAATGAAGGCAGCAGCAACACGCACACGAAGCGCAGAAGAGTATCAGGTCAAAGGCTTATGCTTCGAGCATATCGTCAAGGACGCTTGCCAGACAGGAGAGCGAAAGATCAACGCACGCAGCCTGCCGATTCCCTCGTTTCAAAAAAGAGATCGAGTGATAGCTGCGTCGGTTGCTTCCCGCACCAGAAAAGTTGAAGAAGGGGCCTTTGTGTTCGAACGGTTGGGCTGACTGGTGGACATGGGTGCTGGAAAGCCGATCATGTTGTAAAGGCCATCTCCGTCATGGCATGTATAGCATATTAGAGAGCAAACAGTGGGCAAGCAGGTTCTGAGGGTCCGTTTCTTGACCGAAGACAAGGCCAACCCACAGCAGTCTCACTTGTGTAAAGCTGACCTTTGGCCCTTTGGTTTCCCCAGCACAATCAAAACCTGGGTGAATCAAGAGGATTGGAGCCCCTTTGAGTACCAGGTTTTGATTATGATTCTCATTTTGATCCATGGGTAAGGTTCCCGGAGGCTTTTGCCTTTTCTCTCCAGATCCTGTTGCAAATACCTGGAAGCCAAGAATCGTAGGACTGCCTTCAAGCGGTGGAGCTGCTTCGGGAGCTGGCGCGACCCCAGGAGGACGTCTTTCCATTCTGTCTTGAGACACCTATTTCTGGCCTTGGCGAAGTGTCGTGTGGGGGGGGGAGCATCTGCATGTAGAGGAAACTGTGGGTAAGAAATCCTTGCTTGATGGCTGGACTATAGGTATTGGCAGTGATATATTTTAGACAGCCCTGTCAAGTTCTTGGCGTGTGACATTGGCTTCTCGGAATCTGCGCGAAGGGGAAGGGCTCTTTGCCCATTCACATCCGCGGCACTAACAGGAAGTTCCTCCCTCCATGAGGTCCTGGACTCGATACGTTTTGAGATGACCATTTCAGTGGCAAGCAAGTTGGTCAGCTGGCCTCGGCCGGCGGAGTCCCGATGCATTGGGCAACAAACGGTACTGATGAAACGGGCATGTTGCCAGTCTACGAGTTCCGATCTGTTATTTTGGCGGCAGGACATCCCTCCCCACAAATATCGAAGGAGACACCAACAGTTGCTGGTCCTTGGCCAGGACAGGTCCCCTGCCGGATGAAACGGATCATTCCAAACGCCCTTTATCCTCCCCTGAGACATATGGCCCCTTCCAAAACATCCCCCCGACAACATCGTTCCATGACATCCCCAGAAGCAGTGGAGAAGCTGCATCCTGCAGCCTTTGGGTGAAGGAGCAGGGCTTCGGCTTCAGCCCCGCGCTGCTGACCTTGGGCTCCCTCTTTGAGTCGGGTTTCGCGCCGGCCATCGACCAGGACGCCAAGGAAGCGGCCAGGCGCGGGTTCAGCGGGGTCTTGGGCGCCTGGGATGGCAAGAGAGGGGGAGAGGAGGAGCCTTGGGTGTTTTCGTGAGCCTGTTTTTGGGGGGTGAAAGGGAAAGCAGTCCATCTTATCTTAAAACCCCGGATAATGTGTTTCAGCAAGCCTGCTTGACCTGACACCTCTCGCCATGGCTGCTTGTCACTTTTTTGGGATGCATAGAAACTCCAGAACCCGGTAAGGCCAGTGTTTAGAAGTGAACCCAAGGGGATGCGACCGTTGTCATGCTCAAGGACGGTGTGTCTCAAAAGTAGGGAGCCCTCCGAGTGGTTTTCTGCTTTTGGTTTCTCTTTCAATTCATCTGAAAAGGGATGCACCCGCACCCCTCCACCAAGTGGCTGCCCGAATTTACAGTTGACTCGAGGGTTTCGCTCTGGCAGGTGCTACTTGGCCTTGCTGGAGGCTCAGCTCCAATCAAAGACCTTGGGTGATGACCTGTTAGAGGAGGCTGGTGGATTTGTCTTGGGCCTCAGGGCGACCGCACGGGGTTGGTACTTTGAGACTCTTCAGTCTGGCTGGCAGGCAGCGACGCATCTCTCCAGCGTGGTGAAAGACAAGGACTGCGCTCTGCAAGAAGAGGAGATCCAGCGCCTGGAATTCCTGGCCGACTCTGAGACTTGCGCTCCCTGCACGCAAGGGCAAAGGAGTGGCGAACAGGGCCTGTGCTTGGAGAGAGCGAGAGCGAGAGAGAGAGAGAGACGAGAGAGACGAGGAGAGACGAGGAGAAAATTAATGGTGTGATTGAACGAACTGCCCGGAATATTTGTTGACATTCGCCGACATCCTCTCGGGGGACAGTGGGACCCCCAAACCCTGGCTTTTTCTCCCAGGCATTGATCATATCCTTATGGTGTTGGTCGCCCTCTTATCCAGAGATGTGTATGAGAGGATGCGTCAACGAGTCGTTCAACTGTTTAAGGCCTTTCATCAGGATGAGTCTAGGACTGGCCATAGCAGCTAGCAAGCATGCAAGAGAGCATCCGCAGATGCAGGCACACATGCGATTCAGCATGCATTTCAGTCCTTCCAACGAGACAATGAGCTACGTCTACAATTTGACAGTTGCTCCACAAAGCAAATGAATTCAAGGGTATCAACACATGGCCGCACACTCGACCCGAAAAATAAAAAGAAGAAAACGTGTGCCTGGTATGTCTCAGTGGCGAGTTGATCGATGATGTCACTTGCATCACACAAGCGCATATATTCCTGAGTTGTTTTTTTCTTCGAAGGACACTTAGGTGTGTGTCTGGGTCCTTTCTTTTAAGACCCACTCTATACATTCATAAACCATACATGTGTATATATATATATACATATGTATATATATATATGTATATATATATGTATATATATATATATGTGTATAGATATGTACATATATATACATAGTGCCCCCGAATGAGACTATATACATATACATATATATATATATACATGTTTATGTTTATATATATATATAGTTATGCACATGGATCCGACTTGGTCCCTTAGGCCAAGGCCGCCCAGGGCTGGCTGCGCTTCGGAGCCGCGGAGGCGCGGCGGCGCTTTGTGGAGGCCCAGGAGGACCCGGAGGCAGCTGCGCCAGGGCAGTCCGGTGGATGGGGGTCTGAAGTGGAGTGTAGAGCCAAGGGGGCCTACCATATGTGCATATACATATATGGATATATATATATATATATACATAGATATGTGTATTGTGTATCCATGGCTCATAAATGTATAGACAAATATACATATGGTGTGCTTTTTTTTGAGGGTACGCCTTTTTGGGGTTTCAAGGGAAGGCAAAGGAAAAGGGGCCTGCCAGTTTGCAGGCCCACCGATATCTTCCCACATATCCAAGGGGATGTACAGATTAAGGTAGATTAGGTGCCCCGCGTGGATCAGAGTCAAGGTGGATTTATGCACGAAAGTGAATGTATTGCCCACCTATGCTGCCTTAAGTCTCCTGCACCTTCGGCAGGTTTTGCCTAGCTACCCAACCTCGAACAAGGGGGCTTCCATCGGGGCAGCGGGTGCTGTGAATCTCTCACCAAAACATCCCGAGTGTTGGGCCCATTCGGGAGCCTATGTTGGTATGAGTGATTGGCAGCCCAGGGGCCCGATTCAATACCCCTTGGACTGTTTCAATGATAGGCGAAGCTCAGGGAGCACAAATGTGGGCCTCCATCTCAATTGCACACACACACACACACATGGTGCACGTGATTGTTTTGCCGAATTGCATCCGGTGGCGATTTTCATGTGGATGTGCCATTGCGGCTATCTAGCCTCGAGTGTGTCCTTGCTTTTGTCACTTTTCCTGTTTTTCAGTCGCGATTTGCAACTTTCCCCTTGTTTGGGTCCCAACCCAACCGTCTGACTTTCCAAATCAAATAGCCCAACTTGTAGCATGTGTGAATGGTCCAGGCGAAGTGTTCGCATTCTATTAAACACTTCGACTACCACTACGCACTGATTTGCCTCACAATACACGACCACCGCAAACGCTTTGTAGGTTACCAAGATGGCTAGGAAGTCTTACTTGCACTGCTTTGTTCTTGTTTCTGGGGGTAAACTTCCAGCAAGAACCCTGGGGGTCTCCCCTGGCACTTGAGTGGGAGCGGGCACTGACTCCGCAGGCCCGGGAGCGGCGGCTGGAGCGGGAGGCCGCCAAGGCTGCGGCGCGGCAGCGGCTGAAGGAGGGACCCGCATCCCCAAGAGGCTTCTGGTGTTGCTCCATTGCTTCTCTCTTTCCGTCAGACTAAAGGAATCCACCAAAAAGGACTCCATGTGGGCGGAGCTTACAACGAGCTCAGCTGGGGGTTAGAAGAGCTCACTCACAAAGAAGACCACTGAGAGAAGGTAGATTAAAATTCTTGAAATTCCCAGTTTGGGAAAAGGGAATCCCATTGATTTGCGATGGTTTGGCGATGTTTGGTGTCTTGCCACAACCAGATCCCGGGCCCCGAAGATACCACCAAGCCGGAAGAAGCTTGCCACTCAGAAGGGCTGGCTAGGAGGAGAGGCAGCAGCGGGTGCAGCAGGCGCTTCAGGAAGCCGAGGAGCTCAGGCGCTCCGGCGCGGTTTCCTTGTGCTGGGCCGGGGTGCATATGCTGTATATGCTCGTGATTAGGTCTGTGTGTGTGTGTCAAAACGAAGGGGTTTTCTTGGACAGTTGTAATTACCCAGTTTGTGACACAGTTGGTGTTCAAGGTGGCCCTTGCAGGCATCGTATGGGTTGTTCGCGAAACAAGTCTTGCAGCGTTTGCTCCCAAACGGTCTTCGGTTGTTTTTGATTCATCATTTGGATCTCGGTTTGGTTCAGACATTCGCGTTCGTTATATTAAAGCAAGGCCGTACTATTGGGCACTTCTGCGTTTTAGTGGAGCGCGTGTGTTTCACGGAGCCGAGCGCCAGTGCCGCCCACCAGGCTGCAGGGCAACGACCTCTGCCGTCAGGGCCAGCTGCCAGGCAACGCCGCACGGAGGCAGCTTCTGCTGCAGGCGCCCAGCCGCTGCAGTTGAGTCCGTCACTCCTCCAGGTTTGTTGTTCTCTTTTCAATAGTACGACAATCGCACAAAGGCAGAGAAGCCGTCGCACAGCGCGTTTTGCAATGTTTGGGTGTGAGGTGTAGCGACTGTCGTTGCCCCTGGGTCCAAAGTGAGGCGCCCTTCTGCGAAAAAAAGGAAACCACGATCAGTCAGCCAGCTATGCACTAATTCATCTTCAGTACCGATCGAAAAGCAACCCAATCCAAGCTGGTGCTTTTTGAAGGGGACCCGTTGCCATTTGGACATGTCCAAGTGTGGCAATTCACCGTCTACCGACAGGATCGAAGTGGCATTTTTTCACCAAATGAACTGAGTTGCCAGCCCGGGTTCTGTCAGTTTGTTGCATATTGAATGTTGAAGGTGGCTCCACGTGGTGGGTCAGATCTCAAGATGCTGATTAGTGCTCTTAGATGCTTTGGCTGACTTCAGGTTTGCTATCGGAAATACTCACGACTGGTTTGCTTTCCAGAAACTGGCAAAGGGCACACTTCCCAGAGTGAGCAGCAGGTCAGTCAATGGCAGAACATCACTATTTTCTGGACAATTCATCGATGTGTTGACAGTAAAGGCTGCAAGTTGGGGCTGTACACTCGAGCAGGCATCAAACTCATCTTCAGTTCAGAGGCAGTGACATGTTCGCGGAAATCCGCTTTGTATAGAAACCTCAGAAACTGCCAATCCAGGCTGTGTCGCTGTACGACCAGGCGGTGGAAGTCCTAAGCAGGCCGGCTCTGAGCGGTGACACGTCAAAGCCGGGACCATAGGGAAATTCGATGCAGTTGGTTAATCGGGAGTGTTCACTTCTCGAACGTGGGGCACATGGCCACAGAGGACTAGATAATAGGCATGCAGACGTTTTAGGCTTGTACTTGTGCCACTATCTTGAGCCAACCAACTGCCAGCCTACATGCTGATGGACTGTTGCTTGTGCTTGTCGAACCTGCCGTGCCTTGCCTGATCTGGTATGTTCTCAGATTGCTTTTTGTTCTGGTCGATCCGTGCCATTCATTGTCATTGCTGGCCCTTGTTGATTGAAGGAATTCCACTGGCGACCAAGAGCAAGCTTCGGGCGAAGAAACTCTCAATTCCACCCTTGCTCCAAAGAGCTGTAAATGGGCACGGTGTCCCTCATCAGGGACGCCCGCAACTCGTTTTGATCCCTTCGAAAACATGCTCAAACAACTGGTTCAAGCAGCCGTCACGGGTGGCAGTCGCAACCCTTGTCCTCCAGCATTTGCTGTCCCCACATTCCTTCATGGGAACCCCAGATTCACAGTGTCAGCGGATGATTCGTCTTGGGGGGCAACCCTGACACTCATGCGATTGGTGGATAGCTGGAAGAGACTAAAGATAGATGCCCACTTCCGCAGACCCAATGTACCCCACTGTTAAGGTGCCTTCTTGCTGCCTTGCTGGCCTAATAGTTTTTGTTTGAATGTGTCCCTGCACAGGCCTCGTCACTGATCCATGACAACTGATGCTGCTATTTGTTGTCGTCATCATCATCATTGTAGATACACCAAGCCTCCTTGTTCTCAGCACACAGCACGCATAAGACATCACAAAACATTCCCAAGGTCCAGACATTGGGACTCCACTGATCAAACCTGTGGGGGTTCTCCGAACCGAACCTTCGGGGTTCGAGGGCACCTTTGTTTGTCCCAGCACAACCCCAAGTTTTCGCTCGAAACAGCGCGCTCGTTTGTTTGGATCCATTGAAGTGACATCCAAATTCCCCACGGAATGGTGGGTGTAAACGGTGTAAACACAAAAGCCGCTCCCGCCCCCCACTTGGGGTGGCGCAGGTGCCTCAGCTCATGGGGTGATGAGCCGGAGCTGCGGCGCCAGCGCGCACTGTTGCGCTCCAACTCTGCGCAGGCCAGGGCATCGGTGAGACGCGGGACTTGACCAACCGGAACCGGGAAACCGAAACGAGAACGTGTTGTGTTGGTTGGATGGAGTTCATTTTGGGGTTGCTTCAAAGGGAAACCAAAAAGGAAGTCACAATTTGTGTGGATTCTCATTTTGAGACAAACCCATGTGGCACCCGTGTGGCTATGAATCTCAACGGGGACACTCTCCCTTTCAATAATTTCCCGTCCAGTTCAAAGATACAAATCAGCTGGAACATGTGACTTTCAGCTTGGCCAAAATGTATCCTTGTAGCACTTTTCAAGCAAGTTTGCTAGACACAAGTCCCCCCAAGAAAAAACGATGTTTCCCTGTTCGGAGAGGTCTCCCCAATGCTCCTGCCACCACCCAACTTCCTTTCCCCCTCCCCAAACACCTCCGGGTTTGGTCTAGCTTCGCCTTCCCCAAGCAAATGTGCTTGTTTTCGGTTCCTGGTGCGCCGTGGAGGTGGAGCTCTCCTTGGAGCGCTGGACAGAGGCGGCGCAGCTAGCAAACCTGTCGCTGGAGGTGGGGTCGGACGCTCGTTACTTGGGGCCGTTTCTTGGTGGCGCGGTCCCTTTTCAGATTCGGTCATTGGGGGAGCTTGAGGCGTATCCAACATTCTGTTTATGGGACGTGGCTTCGTCCAGGTGTGGGGTTGCACATTCTTCCCGAATTGTTTGACATCATCTTAGCCAAGGCTTAGCAGGTGGCAGGACATAGTGGGAGCCGGTACAGTACATACTTGTTTTGTTGGGGTGGTGGTGATGGTACGCTCATGTTTCATCGCAGATGTGGGGGCATTTGTTGAACCCAATTTGCTTGGACTGGAGACTCACGGGTGCAGGGCTTGAGATGGACACTTTCGGGGCTCGTTGCAGCAATCCAGGAATCGCCACGCTTTCTAAGCGGGTCGGGTAAAATATTTGAAAGGGTGGCCTGTGGCAGGGAGCGATGGCAAACAGGTCGCAGGGCCAAAACACATTGGCTTTCGTGATGCATGGAGAGGATCACGATTTCCTTGCCAGTTCTTTGAGGGAGTGATTGTGTTCTGTACTTCGAGGGAAACGCACATATCGCCCGGAACATCAAGAAGGACGTAACAGCAGCGTTCAAGAGAGGCACCTGCAACATGCCAAGCGTTTTTTCGATGAGATGCGTGCGCGCACATTTCAGGACGATCCGGATTCGGTGAAGACGCTCTACCGCCTGGCCAAGGCACTTGAGTGTCTCAAAGTCGGACTCCCCCTTTAGAAGTCTCTCGGGAAAGACACAACACATATAGAGGCCTTTGTTGTGAAACAGGGCAAGTACGCACAATGGCATCGCTGCATGGCACCGGCGGTTATGATCAGTGTCCAGCCAGGATGAAGCCGTGCTGCCATTGGACACAAAGCCCCATTGAAGTGATGTCCGCCAAAAGTCCCCAATGAAGAATCACAATTCCTATGAATCATACCCAAGCTGTGTCTGTGTGTGTTATCAGGGTTGTCTTTTTGGGTTGTTTCCAAGGTATCAAGGAAACCATCCATTTTACGGCTTTTGATTTTTACGGCTTTTGATTTCGAGACTGACCCACATGTCAGGCCCAGCAGTGCTGTGGCGACTGGGAGGAGGCGGCGCGGGCGGCAGACCGGGGACTGCTGGCGCTGAAAGGCCTGGATCGACATTGTTTTCAGGTACCCCTCAATTTGGTACGGGTTGGGTTGAACTCTAATTCCTGTTGAAACCAAATGACACCCCTAATGGCCCACCACACCAAACCACGAACTAGAGGGAAACAACTTTTTCTACCCAACGACAGCGTCGGGGTCTTTTTGCAATGGGCGGCGCTGGCGTTCTCGGAAGGCCTTGGGGCTGGTTGTCGAGGGCAGATCTCTAAATCCCTTTTTCCTTGGTGGCAGACAACATGCACATAGATTTGGTTCGTTGATCAATTCTACTCCCTGTTGGTCACCAACTAGTACGTTGCTGGTTGACAGCATCCTAGGAATCCACCAAATTGGTGCCACAACAACAAAGCCACAAGCTTCGTGGGAACATTTGTAAGTTGGCCTTGAAGGCCCTTGCCTGGTTGACGGATTGCCAGGCACCAGCGCGGAGCGGGAGGCCTTTACCGTGGAGCTCTGGAAGTTGGCGGAGCAAATCTCCGCGGAGCTGCCCACCTGGAAGTGGTCTGCCTTGTGACTCGGTGTTTTTTTCCTTCTTTTATCCCCAGATCTCGATGGGCGATGGGTTGGATTCAGGAAAAAGCGTGGGAACATGGTGCGTCTCAATGAATGTGATAAGTTTTTTTGTTTTTTTTTGTTAAATGGAAAAGCGCTGCAGTAGCTGGACTGGTCCAAAAAGATCCCTGTATGCAGCTACAGGGGAATGGAAACTCAGGATTCAGACAGACCTGGTTGATCACTAGGGGGCTGTCCCAATTGAGATCCTTTGCTTTTAGCCCTGTGCTTGCGGTTGGCAGGGATGGTGATCAACGTCTCAATGGGGAATTTAGGCAACTGGAAGGGTTCCGCTTCAGACAACCATGACCACGCTCCGTACAAGTAGCTTTGACCTTGAGCACAACCCAAAAAGGCCAGTATCCCTTAGGTTAACAATAAAGGAGGTTAGCTGGAGGCGGACCCAAATTGGAGGAGTCCGCGCAAGTTGAAGAGCCGCTTGAGCTTGGGGTGCTAGTGCCCAGTCATGTTTGTTTGCCATCGGCGCAACCTCACCACAGGGTGTAGGATGTGGTTTGCTTTGCTTTGATCAACTTCCATTGCATGCTAATGCCATGTGAGAGTAGCTGTGGTTTAGTGGCCGTGGCGTCAGCTACACGCTCGCCAAATCATTCCTTGCCAGCTGCATGGTCGCCGTCACGTTCATCATTCACGCTCTCATTAATGTCTTTGGTCTTTGGGGTGGCCAAACAAAGCACTGAAGTTTGCTGCTCTGGGCCACAGGACTCCTCCAAAAGCTTCACAACATCGACACCTCCGCTTGAAACTGTCGTCAACGCACGATCCCTTCCGTTTGCTGCTTCATCTGGGATGTATTGCCGCACGACTGCTCAGACCACTATCATCGTCCCATGGGCCCTCGGGCCCTACCAGCCTCAGACTTTCTGTGCCCACCAACGCCAAGAGCCTGAAGTTCCCCAGCTGCTGCTTCTTGGCCAAGCGCCGCCGCAGCTCGTCCCGAAAGACCGCGCCAGCGACCCTCGCGACCACCTGCTCTTCCCACCAGCAAGAGAACTGCCCAATCGAAGGCAGGTCCTAAAGCGGCGAGTAAATCTGGCACGAGCTTCAGATTCTGTTGAAGATGTCTTTCTTGTGACTGGTTTGCTGCCTGCAAGTGGATTTGGCCATCAGGCAATTGTGCATTGCTTGCCGGAAGCTGGGGTGCTCTTTATGCTGCCTCTTGTGAAGGCAACCTATCCATTGTGAAGTGCCGGCTAGAAGCTGTTGCTGACACTGAAAAGGCGGACCACCAGGGCATCACACCCTTGCATGCGACTGCACTAGCGGGCAAATTTGATGTTGCGCAGTGCTTGCTGGCAGCTGGTGCTGACAAGGACAAGGCAACCAACGATGGGGTGACGCCGTTGGGCTTTGCCGCTTACTATGCCTACTTAGACATTGTGAGGTGCTTGCTGGCAGCTGGTGCTGACAAGGACAAGGCAACCAACGATGGGATGACACCGTTAGGCTATGCTGCATGCGCTGGCAACTTTGGGATTGTGCAGTGCTTGCTAGCAGTTGGTTGGTGCCAATGAGGGCAAGCATGATTCGTGGCTGCACAGCGCTGGGTTTTGCTGCTTTGGCTCTGGCCATGTCGAAGTGGTACAGTGCTTGTTGGAAGCTGGTGCTGACAAAACCCATGTCACTGGCAGCTCGCCACTCCATGGTGCTTGTCAAGGGGGTCACCGTCAAATAACGCAGTGCCTGTTGGAAGCAGGCGCTGATGCGTCAAAGGCGGACGTTCAGGGTAACACACCGCTGTCTCTCGCCGTGTCTCTGGGTCACTGGACGGTTGTGAGATGCTTGTTGGAAGCTGGGGTGGCTCCAGCATTGCCATCGCACTGTCATGCTTGGAGTTGGTGGGCCATGATTGCCGTACACAGCTAGGTTTTGCTGTGGAAGAAGGTCAAGTGGACAGTGTATACTGCTTGCTGGAAGCCGGTGTTGACAGAAGTCGTCGTGGCAGTGCGTCAGAGTAGGCTTTGGGTAAGTCGGCGCTTGCATGCCACCCACACTTGACAGGCAGGGCAAATATCGTCAAGGTACTTGAAGCTATGCTGCTTAAAAAGGTACGGAGCTGCCTTACATTTCTTCGTTCTATGATCCTAGTCAATCCCAGTTGCGTTGCCAGTCATGCCTTTTGCCTAGAATCCCTACAGTAGCCATATGGCGACGCTGGAATTCCCTCAATGCCGATCATTGCCCTTTTGGGGCTGAGTCATCCGCAGTCATCCCCTTTACTTCCCCTAAGGCAACTGCGCAACTTGCATCTACGTTCATCTAGAAAACAATGCACAACCGTTTTAGGGGGGCCGATGTCAACTTTGAGAAGCACCCGCCAACCAGAGCTTACCCTCTTTGAATCATGGCAGCTGACGGGGTTTGGAACTGCCCATGGTACCGACCAGTTAGGAAGCCAGAGAAGAGGGCGGTGGACGACTTCGAGAAGCGGATCGTGGGGTGGTGGACGTACCCTGGCAGCACCTTCGAGGTGCGTTTGGAGCGCTGGGGCGCCCTGGTCTTCCACGAGGCGCGGGAGGTCCGAAGACCCCAGGTTGGGATGCTGTGCTCAAAGGTAAACTCGCAGAACTTGTTTTTGTTTGTTTCTTTTTTTGTTGGGGAGGGGAGCGGTTCTTCATTTTTTTAATGTTCTTTTTTTGGGGGGGATCTCGCTTTCAGCTTTGCCGTGGCGGGGCGTTTTTTGTTTTGTTTTGTGTGTGTCTGTCTCTGTCTATGTGTCTGCGTCTGCGTGTCTGTGTGTCTGTGTGTCTGTGTGTCTGTGTGTCTGTGTGTCTGTGTGTCTGTGTGTCCGTGTGTGTGTGTGTGTGTGTGTGTGTGTGTGTGTGTGTGTGTGTGTGTGTGTGTGTGTGTGTGTGTGTGTGTGTGTGTGTGTGTGTGTGTGTGTGTGTGTGTGTGTGTGTCTGTGTGTGTCTGTGTGTGTCTGTGTGTGTCTGTGTGAGTCTGCGTGTGTCTGCGTGTGTCTGCGTGTGTCTGCGTGTGTCTGCGTGTGTCTGCGTGTGTCTGCGTGTGTCTGTGTGTGTGTGTGCGGAGTGGCAGATTACCCTGCCACCATCCACCTTTTTCCACCGCAGCAGGGGGCTGGAGCCGGCCCGGGGGGTCTCCAGCCAACGAAGACGCCCCCCGGTGTCCGGGGGCAGCTGGCGGGCCCACCCCAAACAAAGGTCCCCTTTTTGCCCTTTTCTCCAAAACCAGCTGAACCCCAGCTGTACTCGAGACTCATCAGTTGTACTCGAGACTCATCAGTTGTACTCGAAAGATTAGCACCCTCCATCTGGAGTTTAAGTGTGTACACCCCATTCGTGGGGAATCCTCGGGTGTACCCATTGTGTGATCCCGGGCCGGCTCTGTCGGAAAATTTGACCTCAGCGTGCTTATCATAGACCAGCGGAATTTCACATTTAACCAGGATCGAGGTTTCACTAAAGGAAAGACAGCCACCTCTTCATAGCTACGTTTCACCCTTCGTTCTTTTTTCTCGCCTTCGTGTTCTGCGTGCCCGTCTTCTGGTTCTTCGCCCGCCTAGGGATGGCTTCTCCTTCCTCCCGTTCTCTTCCTGCTGCCTTTCGTGACCCGCGCGTTCGCCCTCCTCCTGTTCGCCCGCTTAGGGATGGCCTGGTTGTCCTCGCGTTGTTCACCTTTTTCCCCGTCGTCGTCTTCGTGTCCGTCTTCCTGTTCCTACTCCTCTTCTTCCTCACGTAGTTTGGCTTGACGTCTTCTTCCCCTTCCGTTGCTATTTCGTGTTCGTCCTCTTGGCCCCTGTGTGGGATTCGTCGTCTTCCTCCTCGAGCTTTGGACTTCATCCTCTCTTCCTGTCTGGGCGGGATGCGTCGCCCTAAAAACGCATACTACTTCCCTCTTCCTTTTCTTTTTCTCCTTTCTCCTCTCCTCGGGCGGGCTGCGGCGCCCTAAATACGCATCTCGCTCCCTTTGTCTTCTTTTCTCTCCTTCTTCTTCTTCTCTCTCCCTTGCATTCCTTTCTCCTTCCCCCGGGCGGAATACGCATCTCGGCCCTTCTCCTCCTTTCTCTCTTTCTCTCTTTCTCGCTCTCTCCTTCTTTTCTTCTCCCCTTTCCCTACTACTTCCAGTTGTTCCTCTTCGCCCGTTTAGGGATGGCGTGTTCGTGGTGTCGTTCTTCAACTTCGCGGTGCTCTTTGTCTACAAGGTTTAGGAGGGTTTCTGGACTGTTTGGGGTTCTTTGCCCTCGGCGGTGACCCTAAACTCGGTTTCCCGTTTTTCGTGTTTCTTGGTTGGGGTTTTGCCCGCGGAGACCCAACGTGGGGCCTTTCTGTTCCTTTTGGGTTCTTGCTCCGTTTGTTTTCTGTTGGGGTCTTCGTCCGTCTTTCGGGCGCTTCTTCTTCCCCCCGAAAAAGAGACTTTTCGCCCCTCACTGAGGGGCGTGTGTGTGCGGAGTGGCAGATTACCCTGCCACCATCCACCTTTTTCCACCGCAGCAGGGGGCTGGAGCCGGCCCGGGGGGTCTCCAGCCAACGAAGACGCCCCCCGGTGTCCGGGTCCAAACGTACCTGCGGGGCTGCGCCTGGGCCATTGTCATGGCAGCTGGCGGGCCCACCCCAAACAAAGGTCCCCTTTTTGCCCTTTTCTCCAAAACCAGCTGAACCCCAGCTGTACTCGAGACTCACCAGTTGTACTCGAACGATGAGTGACTTATCAGTTGTACTCGAGACTCATCAGTTGTACTCGAGACTCATCAGTTGTACTCGAAAGATTAGCACCCTCCATCTGGAGTTTAAGTGTGTGTGTGTGTGTGGGTGCGTGCGTGCGTGCGGGCGGGCGGGCGGGCGGGCGGGCGCGCGCGCGCGCGTGCGTACGTGTGTGTATGTGTGTGTGTGGGTGGGTCTGTCTGTGTGTCTGTGTGTCTGTGTGTGTGTGTGTGTGTCTGTGTGTGTGTTTGTGTGGCTTAAGATTTGAGGGTTCGCTTAATTTTGGACACCCTTTCGAAAATGTTGCCTTTCGTCTCTGTAAATGCAGCCAGAGGAAAAGAACTCTTGATGGTCCTTTGCCAGCAAGCGCTTCGTACATGGGTTTTGTTCTGAAGCAGTCTTTGAATGCACGATATCCAACAGGGTTGCCGAATCAATGCAAGTGGCCACGGACTCCATGGCGAACGGCAAGAACTATGGGGGTTCAGATTATTTTGACACATGCCCACATGATTTGGCTGAGGGTTGGGGATCTGGGTAACACCCCTGCATGTTCATAAATTTGCGCCATAGCAGTTTCCAGTCTTCTGGCACCAGGTCCGTAGCATTGGATAAGAGCTGTGACCATAAACGTGAAACCAGCGCCACCGGATCCCATGGCAGGCCAATTTCCAAGCGTATTAGCGCAAATTTGAACGAGTCGCCTGGGGGAAAGAACAGCTCACCCACGGACGTTCGTTGCACCTTCCTTATTTCAGGCTTCTTGAGGGGTTCCACTCACACCCTACGACTTGTAGACTGTTTGAGTTTAAATGGATGACATATCCGGCTAAATGTTTAACTGTTAGCAAGGGACAAGCACACCAATAAGGTTTGTGACTAGTATTTTTGCCACCTGAGATTCCTTGGACCTCACCTTTTGGGCAAATTTTCGTTGTTTTTTTCCCTGGCGTTCGCCAAACTGGAGGCACCCTCCTCTGTAATCAAAACCTTGGAGGACACCGTGAAGATCGAGCTTATGCAGAAGAGCAAGCTGCGGTGGCGCGGCGAGGTGGAGCTCATCTCCGGGATGGTGCTGAACCTGTCCTTCGAGCCCGGCAGCGACGTGCTGATCCTGGAGTTCATCCCCCCACCAGAGACTCGATTTGGTTTGGGAAATCGGCTCGCTGTGAGGGGAGGTTGGCTTGTTGTTTGGTTGGGACATCCTCCAAAATGCTTGGCGGAATAAAGTATGTTATGGACTTGTATGGCAGGAACACCCTCCAATATTCTTTCTGGGGCTTGTTTGCCTATGCTTTGTTCCCTCGGGTTAGGCAGAGGGCTTGGGTAGCTTTGCACAAATTTGTTTTCCGCCCATCTTTTCAGCGAGGCCGCAAAATTGGAGGGGAGCCTGATATGAGGCGCTAAATCGCACCACAGTTTGCTTGAAAACATGGTTCCTGCAAAACAAGGAATTCGCTTAAAGTGCACAACAAGATGAACCTATCCGGGCCCCTTATAGGGAACCAAGCAGTCGCAAGTGCCGAGGACATGCCGGAGAGCGATCAATGGAGCGGGCCCAAGCGCTTCACGGCCACGCGCATGGTAGCGCCAAAGAAGGCCGAGGACGCGGCCAAAGCGGAGGTCAAGGATGACACCGAGGCAACGTGAGAATGGGGAAACTCAGGGGGTTTAGTTGCCATAGGTAAACCAGGCGAATTACTCGCACCTCTAGGTTTACGGAGTGGACCCATGTACTATAACCAGAATGTAATAGCTCCAAATTTACAGGATGGATGCCCTTGCTTACCTATATGAATAACTGGATCCACTGGGAAAGATTGCCCTCCAAATAGTGTCCTGTCAATATGGGGTGCCCCATTTGGTTACACTGATGCACATCCAAATGGGTTCAAAAAGAAATCACACATTTTGCCGGGTTCCCCGATTTCCCATGTTTTGGATCCGAACAACCGCACATGTTTAGATGTGAGTCTGAAACCCAGCAATGAGGACAGAATCGAAGCAGCTGATCGCCCCGAGCCAGCGCTGGAGCCCCCCGAGCCGGCGCCGGAGCCGGCCCCCGAGGCGCCCGGGGAGCCTTACTGACGGACCCAACTATCGGATACTCAATGACTCAACTGGAGTTTGAGCAATCCGACCCTTCAAGTTGAGCGACATTTGCGCAGAACCCCTTTGGCTTAGGATGGCCTTTGTAGCGAGTCCATTGGCACTGTCGGCGGGAGGCAAGTCGCAAAGTGTTTCTTTCCACGTGTTGTGGGGGCGAACTGGCAAGTATGTCGTCAAAGTCTGCTTTCCTGCAGTCGTAACTGGTCAGAGGAAGCGCTGATGGGATCTTCTGTTGCACTGGCGAATGCCAGGAGAAGGAGGACGATTTGGAAGCTGTCATGGCGGCAGCACCCAAGGAGGCCCGAAAACATGGCATGTGCACGACTTACTACAGGTCGGACCGCCAACTGTACCTTGTCGTGTTTTTGACGACCGGAAAATGGTTTCGTGCCGATGTGCCATGCAGAGTGCGAGGTCTTCCTCTCCGGCTACCCTCTGGTGGCGGGTCGGTACGCACTGCAGGAAAGGCCGCAGAACGGCCGCCCCGTGTACCGGCGAGCAGAGCCTCGGATATGGCCTGTCTTTGACGCGGCATAACCCGCACTCGCAGGTTGACCCTTGAGTTGCCTTTGAAAGAGGGTTAAAACAGCATTTCGACCAGTCCGAAACTTAGAGCCTACTTGAACCAGGCCAGCTTGTGCATGTGCCAAAGCGGCCGGGGCAGCAATTCTCGCTGATGTCTCCACCTTGCTTGCCCAGGATTGCGCAGAAGATCTTTATCTGTGGTTCAGAGGCGTGGTGTGCACATTCCCACGCATCCCACCATTGGCCACCACAATAGGTCGATACACCGGAAATGCATTTGGCGCCCATCAAGAAGTGCTGGAATCACATGCCCGGGCGTCGGTACGCAAGTACCCCAGTGTCTGCAACTGACATCAGTGGGACATTTGTCACCGTCTAGTCCAGGGAAACAATCCTGCACATGACCCAACTGCACAGCTAAGCTGCTCTTCCCCAAATCTGCCAAAAATTGAACTCGCTCAGCTCCCTGCGAATTCAAGAGGGAGTGTCCCTTGCCGGAGTTACAGCTGGGTTTGTGTCACTATAGGGTCAGTGTCCTTGTTTCCCTTTGAAACCTAAAGACATCTAGGTACGGAGCCTCTCAAAGGAATAAGCCTTGCCCTGAGCTGAGGGGGCAACTGGGGCGTCACCGAGTCCCTGCGCAGCTCCGCGCTGGCGGCGCCATTTTTGGCGCGCTGCGCGGAGAGCCGAGCCGCGGCGAAGGGTCCGCCGCTGAGGCGGCGCTCCGTGTGGTACGTGCGCGCCGGGCGGAACAAGGAGGAGCCGAAGCCCAAGTCGAAGGAAGCCGAGGTGTTCGGCGGGTGTTTGGTAGCGACAGGGGTCCTTTGGACAGCAGCTTACATTTGCTAGGCACCAAGTTGCTCTTGTGCCGCCCTCTTGAAACAGCGACCCAACAAGGACTCAATTAAATTATCGCCAAACAGATGTTTAAACAAGCCCAGAAGAAAACTAGAAGGAGCCCAGTGTTTGTGTTGTGTTGTGTTGTGGTGCGGTGTGGTGTGGCGTGATGTGTGATTTTTTTTTTCTCTCTCTCTCTCTCTGTGGTGTGATTTGCCTCTCTCTCTCTCTCTGTGTGCGTGTGTGCGTGTGTGCATGTGTGCGTGTGTGCGTGTGTGCGTGTGTGCGTGTGTGCGTGTGTGCGTGTGGATGTGTGCGTGAAGATTTGAGAGTGTGCTTGCTTGTGCGTGGTTGTTTCGTGTCTGCACGCGCGTGCCGGGCAGGAGCCAGCTCCAGAATTGTTTCTGTCTGCGTGCCCTTCTGACGGCTACGCTGAACTGGAGAAGCCCTGTGCTGGTGTGGAAGTGCCTGCGGAAGGCTGACGGACGCTTCGTTGCGTTGGCGAGTGCCAGACATGTCCAGAGCCGTGGTCTGGGCAAGGCCAAGGGCATTTTAAGCTTATTAGTTAGGGGTGGGTCCCAGCCATAAATACTGTAGCGCAGCCGCCCTTTTCATTATGTTGACCCCAGATTAATAAACCTCTGCTTATTAATAGTGTTCCCCTCCCAAAGTGATAAATCCCCACTAAAACCAGGGGGGTTATTAATTAATCCGGGGTCAACATTAACCTGGATACACTCCACCAGATTTGGATGACTCACTTTTGGTTGTGGCTCATCTCAAGTGGCCAACAGCGCCAGGCCCAGCGTCGACCGCGGCTTCGGCTCCGTCGTGGGTGGAGTCCGCGGACCTCACGGAGGCGGAGGGCGAGGTGCGGGTGGCTGTGGTCGTCAAGGCGGAGGTATCGGTGAGCCTCGGAGACCTGGAGATGGCAGCCTCCGACAGCGCCCTGGCTGTGTGGTTTGGTTTGGGTGACTGGAGCTGTACTTGAGGTCATTGGGTGGAGAAATTGGATGGTTGGTCGGTTGGTCGCTTGGTTGGTTGGCCGGGTTATGTGTGTGCCTATGTCAGCAAACAGCAAAGACCATGGGCGGGATTGAGCCAAATTCGGACAAGACAGCAGTGGTTTGCTGTGAGTGAACAAAGGCAGGGAGTCACGAGGCATGACAGTTGGCATTCTTTTGCACAGTAGATTATCGGGCTGAAGCTTTGTTGGCTCCTTGTATGCTGGAGATGTTGCTGGGGTGGTAGCTTTGACATTGGTACAAACAGGCAAGTCCGGTGTCATGCTAAACAGTGGCATAGTCCTGCACGACGATGGGTCCGTTTGGGCGCTGGTGGGAGGCAAGCACAGATACACTCCTGCAGATTAGCTTGGAACCCACAGAACCAGCGTTTGAAGAGGAATTCACTTTTTGGGAGCTTTCTGGGTTCCATGTGACCTGAAAGGGAGTAGCCCAGACATGTTTGGCCGGCTTCCCATGGACTGAGCAAGCAGGGACAAACTATTTTGAGTGCCTACGTCGTGTTGATATGTGTTAGTTTGCCATTGCGCGGCAACAAGCACACTTCTTCCAGGAAGATTGCCCAGCATGTGCAGACATCACTGAAGGCAATTTCACTCCGGTTTGAGCAGCTGGTTTCTCCCTTTCAACTTATTTGTACCTTAACTTAGCCTATAGCGAAACCCCGGATTTAATCGCGCGAATACGGGAGTCCCTTTCAACTGACTGGTCCTCGATGGTAGGGCCGGGATTTCTGCGCCTGGGAATTCACCAGTCTCCGTTCAGCAACCACTCCAAGGCGTTGTCTAAGGACATTCATTAGATTTACGAGGTTTACTTGCTGGTTCGATAGGCAGGGAACGAAGAATGACCCCAGCCATCCAAACGGTGTGTTTCCAAGTCGCACGGATCATCCAACCAGTCGATTCCTTACAGAGAACCAACAAGTTGATAGTCTTGCGCACATGCACAACCCCTGATTCCTAATTGGCAGGTATTTCTATCAGGGGCACTGCACTCACTTGCCAGTGGCTGTGGCTTTCTACCTCATGGGACGCTGGGGCGAGCTATTCTCATAGCCGAACATGTGACCATACTACATCATTGTGTCATGTATTCGACATATCGTAGACATGTTTTGGCTGTTTTACTAGACATACTAGATATTACCAGATGTATTCGGATTTACTGGATGTATTATATAGATGCTTTTGATCATCCCTCTGCCGTGGGATGGCCGAGGCAGCCTTCGCCTGGTGCTGCCGCCGCAGGCGCCTCTTCTGCTGCCGCTGCCTGCCGGCCTCGGGCCCCCGGTGGCGAAGTGGTCCTCCAAGAGCCGCACGCTGAAGGTGCGCCTGGCGCGCGCCTAGCGCAAGGCCAGCGCCCGAGGGCGCCTTGGGTGGCCGAGGAGGGGGTTGCGGCGCGGTGGTTTGGGAGAGGAGGGAAAGCGGAAAGGAAAAACAAAACATAATGGCGGTTTTGGTCCTTTTGACCAGAAGAACAAGGCGGCCGGAGAAGTGGTGGTTGGAGAGGAGGGGAAAGCAACAAACACAATGAAGAAGACAAAGTGGTTGGTTTTGGCTCAGCAAATGTCCTGGAGGGTGCTTGGTTTTCGTCCTTTTGACCAAATGGAGTAAGCAGGGTTCTGGGAAGCATAGAACGAATATAGCTGTGCGTCAGTGGTGATTACTCGAATTGCGATATTCCTGCCAGCTGGTCAAAGGCGTGAGACAAAGCTTGGAGCCCTTCTTGCTGGTATTATGCCAGTTTCCTTGCAAGGCGAACCAACTAAAAGTCACTTCACACAAATAACCAGATGCCAAAGCACCGTGAGATTGACACCCGGGTTGCACGCGCTGTTCTCCAAATAGTTGTACCTCTCAGGGAGCTGAGGTGATGCGTTTGTTAGATGATTGAATCCCCGAGGCACATGACTTTGGATATGCATTGGCGACTTCGAGCAGCAGGGGGATTGCTACATTCGCTTGAGGGGTTGCGCAGACATTGACACTGAGATTTGTGTGAAATTCATTTACTTTGGGAGTCCAGCCGTGAGCAATGTTTTGAACGCATGCCAACCCACTCAGGTTTTCACCATCGAATTCGATCTGTGCATGCATTTTGTTGAAATGGCAGCAAGACTCTGCTAGTAGGCTCTTTGGTGCAGGAGCATTCCGTGTAGATAGAACCTCTTCGAATTCGACGGACCATGTTTGCATGGAGAAAACTGTGTAGCTTCAGGACAGTGAGGGGATATCATACAAGCAAGGACTCTTGTCATATCATTGGGTTTGCCGCTGAATTTGACTGCTTGACATGAATCTGGGGCAGGTCACCTGAAGTATTGTTGTTGCATCCACAAGGTTCAAGCTTCAGTCAAGCATTGTCTTGTTTGCAGGATGCGCAATGCGGCATGCATCGGGTTATCGGATATTGATCCATTCCCATTGGTGTGCACACCGCACTTTTGGCATGGCTGCCGTACACAGTCTCAGCAATCGAGGTTTGGCCCAGAAACAAATTGCTTCCAGCACCTAGTGGGATTGAATTGGGGGGTGGCTGAAGTTTGAGCTACGGTGATTACTTCAATTGGGGACCCTTTGGTCTTTGGTGACCATCATTTACATGGTTCACCATTTCACAAAGAGCACATGGCCCTATTATCACAAAAAGCAAGACAGACTCGTCGTGGTTGACCATGGCCTATGCGTCTTCGTCGGCCCTTGGCGCAGCTGCTTAAGCGGGCTCTGCCAAAGGCGCTGGCGAGCGTTCCGCGTGCAAAGCGGTTTTTTATTCAGGTCTGCTTTTCTCGGGCAAAACGCGAGCCTTTGCTGGCGATTGCCGGGTTTCGGTGGGGGATTGCACCTCTTGTCATTTTCTAAAACGATCGGAGTGAAGGGAGCGGCAGACCCTCACCAAGCGGTTGAACACTTGGGAATCTTCCAGGACATGCCAGCTCAGTCGGCCGAAATTGGCAGCCTTCATTTTCCAGTGATCTAGGTTTAGTCATGGTTTGTGTTTAATCCATCCGTTCAATCCATCCGACTGCTCGAGTTATAGCAAGCTAATATGCGGCCAGAAGGAGCTTACCCTTGAAGGCCTCTCTAACTTGGGGTTTCCTTTAGATCCAATACTCACGGCTCTTCAATGCGCCTCGCAGGTGTGGAGCCGCTCATTGATGGCCAAGGAGCCTTCGGGGAAACGCAGCGATGTGTCCGGAGAGGTCGGCCTCCTTGAAGCCGTTGGGAAGTGTTTGGCAAGAGGCGAAGGCTTCGAAGGTGGACGTGCTGAGCTGGTGGACAACTTTGTGAAAGGGTGTTGAGGTCTTTGCGGAAAGCAATCCGGATATCTGAACATCGTGGCTGGCAAGCAAGCATGTTTGCTATTTCTCGCATTAGTTTTCAAACCAAAGAGGGTGTTTTGCCTCCAGGTGCAGAAAGTCCCATGCAAGGCATCCTTACTGCACTTCTTAGAAGCGTGTTGCCATCTATCGCAACAAGTAAAATAGTGTTTTAGTTCTTCTCGGGGTACTCGGGAATCAGAATCAAAGAGAGCAGAACATTTCGCCCCATTCCTTTGCCTATGCCAATCCCGAAGGTCTAAGAAGGTTCTCGGCTTTGCATACGTGAGGAGTTCACTAACTCACGTCTGGATCCACAGAAAGATCCAAATTCGCGGTTTGTTGAGAGTGTGTCGCCAGCTCCCTGAAAGTTGCAGCGTTTCAGGGACGCAGACTTCAAGGCCTCCAGAACCACTTCAGCTCACGTTGTCTAGAACGCAGTACGACGAAACAGAACGCCATTTGATTTGCTCAAGTGATTCGTTGACCACCAAACATGCCCTCCGAATATCACTCAAAGAAAATCGGCCAGAACTTCAAGCTTTGGTGGTTGAAGCGCAGATTTCGGAGGGATGCAAACTTTGATAGGGCTGCTATGTACGACATAAACCGTATTGTTTGCTTACACCTGGAAGCATTGAGGAACAGCTGGTAGAGCACTGTCACACTTTGAATTCATGCTGCCCGCACTGGAGCCTGGAGCGAGCGGTATGCAAAACTAACTGACACCGACACTTGTAGTTGCCATCGACGGAGCTGGTAGGCTGCTCTTTTCCAACTATATAGAATGGGCACCCATTCTCGCTCAACAGCATTATCAACACATCATTGCTCTTTTGTTTTGTATTGATCCTGTTCAGTTCTGAGCCACGATTATTCACAGAGTTATGGAGAATGAGGAATCTCTGCCGGGAAGGAGTTCCCCTGGTCTGTGGAAGTAACAGTCTCAACAATGTTATTGCTGTTTTTGTTTGATGTAATCTTGCTTGAGTGTTCAAAGTGCGGAAGCCCAGTCTTGACCTACGGACAGCGTGTGGTTGTTTCGCTGCTGCTGCAGACAATTGAGCATGTGTCAAAACTCGGGGTCCTTCCAACTGGTTAGACAGCTAGTCTGCCAGCGGGTGTTTCTCGAAACCCCCTAAAATGTTTCGTGGGGGCCCACCTTTTTGAGAAACTCACCCTGCAAGGAGCCATTTCCCGAGTTTGAGCCACTGGTTGATTGGGTGGATCACCGCCACTTTGAGGACTGCCAGCGCACGAATAAGGTTCGGGCACACTGACCATGGCCGCTTTGAAGGCAAACGATCGTCCAGCGAAAATGGCTTCATGCAATTGGCTCTTTGCCCAGAAGCCAGTGGCTTCCCTCAAGGCCAGGTTCAGAGGTTCCGAGGTTCCTTTTACATCCCAAAGGTTGAACCAGCCTTTCGGCTGAGAGGAGCTGGATTCCACCCAGAGCTACGTGGAGAGGGAGCACGAGTCCTTCAAGCAGGAGCCCCCGTGCCAAACCATACTGCGTGCAAGCCTGCTTGGGCTTGCCAGGAGGTGACATCTGTCCACTTGAAGGTTGTGGACACACCGCTGGTCCCCCGTGCACATATGCGTAAACCTTTTTTTTCGTCCTGTTTATCCCCGCTACTCCCTCCCGTCCATGCCCGTGCTTCAGCCCAGCGACTAAATAGGGTATGAAGTTATAAGATACTTACTAAGCGGGTTTATCTTTTTGTGTTGGATGGTTTTAAAGGGAAACTAAAGGGACATCACCATTTTGGGGGTCCCCTAAAAAGGACACCCCCAAGCAGTTTTACCTGCAGGAGAAGCTGACCGTTGTCAGCGCCGACTACCAGAGCGCTGGAAGGGGAACGGGCGAGCGTGCCTGGCATGCTACCAAGGCAGGGCTCAACCCGATTCTGTGGCTTTGGGGGCGCCATGTCCCTTCAAACTGGCCTTGCACCATGGCCACAGTCGATTGCGAAACTCGGAAACTACTAGCTCACCCACTTGGGACCCGGAGCACGAGTGCCCATGTTTTCACACCGTGGTCCCGGCACCTTCAAGGTCACAGACCAAGGCCTCGATGAACGGAGAGTAGCTGCAACAACTCTCTAAGACAATCCAGATGCAGTTGACAAGATCATATTCTAACGTGAAATCTGTTTGAATCCCTGCTCGGTACAGGCTTATTTGGGAAGGCCGCAAACATCTCCCTCCAAGCCTGGCCGACTTCCGGGGTTTGTGAGCCCTGATCCACAATGAAGCCCGCAAGCAACCATAAATAGGTACAGCTATCCGCCCCTTGAGTTCGTTGCCATGGGTTTGGGCAGACGCCTTTTATGGCTTTGAGAAGGACTCAGAACTTGCCAGGCACAGAGCGTGATCATGACCTTCTTCTTTCGATTTCCAGAGCACTGCGAGAGCGACGCTCACTGCAAGATGGAGAGAGGCGGAAGGCTCCATGTTTTACGTCAACAATCGCTATTGAAAAAACATGCCCCGCCCCCCAAACAAAATGGAGGGATTTGACAGATTCAAATTGCCGTTGCCTTACCTTGTGTAAGGCCAGCCAAAGTCCTCTGCTTTTCAGCCCTGCCGCATGATGCGCTGAGTTTGATGGCCAAGGACTTCGTGAATTCCAGTGCGCCAAACGTCACCAAAGTGTTGGCAGTGGCGGCAGTGGACACCCTGGAGTGGGCCACAGAGGGCCAAAGGTTTGGCATCAAGTGGCCCAATGACGTGGTTTGCTCAGGCTGGAGTTTGAAATCCGAGTTCGCTGTGAAGAGGGACTCCCTTATGGCCTTCAAAGGGAAGCCAGGCAACATATTGATCGGAACGGGCGCCTTATCCACCAATCGGTTTTTGGGGCAACCAGTAAACCTCCCCTAGTTTCTTTGGCCAGGGGCCTCCCTCCGCCGGCTTCACATCGCCAGGCTGCAAGGTGGGGGGGATCCTGGCGCGGGCGGTGCCCTTCAACGGGCGGCTGGAGGGCATCATCGTAGGCATCGGCATCAACGCGCGGCAGCCCAGGCTGTCGGGTGTCGGTCCTCGGAGGTTCACACAAAGGCGACCCTCACCAAATGGTAGGGCCGGGCGTCAATCCCCACATAAAGGATGTCCGACAGAGTCCCAAATCTTGAATTCACACCCATATGACAGGAGGCAGCATGGACCTGTTGACGCCTTCGGCCCTACATTTCACGAAGTTCAGAAAGGGTCAAAAGGTAAACCCTGAGAGGTGCGTCGCAAGCCTGAAGCAACTTCATTTCCCGAGGTTCACCTTTTGCTTGCAATGCATTGCACTCTGGGGTTCGTGGACCACCACTGGGCCTCGCAAGGCATGCGGCCTGCCACTTGAGTGCGCGGCAAGCACATTTATTGTTTTGAAGGTTCTGAAGGGGTTTGGTGTATTTGGATGGTCACTGCGCGTCAGAAGGCTGTTGGCAACTGGGTGTTGGCTCGGCTTTCGGCTTTCCTTCGCCCCAAGGTCAACACCACGCAGGAGGAGCTGGATAGGAGGCTCACCTGCAGATGGCTGCTCCAGGGGCGCGAGGGCCGAAACACCGACGAGCAAATGTCACATGCGCATGCATACACCCAAATTCAGGATTCAGGGGTGCGATTGTTCATTCCACATACACCCCTCGAAGGAGATGTGGAGTCCCTGATTAGCGCACTTCTTGAAGCCCCACCAGTTGCAGCTTGTTTGCCATCCAATGTAAGAGTTCTACGCTTGGCTGAACGGGACAGCCAGCAAATTATGTTTGCCCCTTTCTATAGCCTTCTGCGATTTCAAGCCATGTCTGCTATCATGGGAGCCAACAAGGAGGTGTTGGAAGACTACCGTCATATAGAACTGGGATTTTGTTCAATCTAATTGTTGGTCGGGGCAAAGGCTGTAGACACTGCTTCCCTCTTTGAGCCGAGGATCGCGCGGCCGGTGTGGCCGGCGGCCTCGGTGCTGTCGCTGACGAAGAGGCACTGTGAGGTGCCGGAGGTGCGGCGGCGCCTGGTGGGCTGCTTCGCGCTGCACTTGCAGAGGCGCGACGTGCCTATGGATCTCGAGCAAGCTCAACGGGGATGTAAAACGAGGTCACTGTGATGTAGGTCCTTCACTTGGGGATCCCTTCAATATGCAGGCGTTGGAATTATTGGAAAAAAACGCAGAGTTATTGACTTAAACCAAGTTTAAGCACCCCTGGGTTGAGGTGTGGGGTAGTCAAAAGTGACGCACAACCTGGGTTGCAGTGGGTGAGGTGAGGCACATGGACCATTCTCCTTCTGCGGAGAATTGGAGACTTGGTGACTTTAATTCTGCTTCCTGGACTACCAACTGTCTTTTCCACCACCATTTTTGAAGGAACCTTGTGAAGGCCCTGATCATACGCCCCCCACTCAGCGGAGCCCTGCAGCCTACGGGTGGCTAGTTGGCTCTATGTTGCCCTACGACCTCTCCGAAGGTTCTTCGCGGGTGGCTTTGCGGTGTTTCGGGACCGCGTCAACAGCCTGGATGCTCTCCTGGGCACCAAGGCGTCCAAACGCGAGTGAACCACGGGCAGGAACCCCAACGGGCCGCGTTGGTGAAGTGTTTCGGGTACCGTAGGTATTCCGATGGACGGAGTGTGACGTAGTTGAAGCTGCATTCGACCATGCGAAGCCATGCTTCATGCCTTGGTGGCAGTTTTCCGGTGGCAGGTAGATCGGGGCGAGCTGAAAGACGCAGACCGGCTTTCAATCTGGGCATTTTCAGGTTTGATTCAAGGGCGAGCCTCGCAAAAGTAGCACAGCTAGTCCAGAAAGCGCTTTTTCATGTACCTTCTCAGCAGTGAACCTGCGAGCCAGCCAGCGAGCTTGCATGATTTGACACAGTTGAACACTACAAAAAGACTGGCTACAAGATCTGATTGGTCACGGGCATTCGGAAAAGCTCTTTGACACGTAACAGCTTCCGGGAGGTTTGGTTCCGGGCCCACGAGTCCGATGAGTTCGAATGTGCCGCAGCTGCATGGGATGGGAAACGCACAGATTCCACCTGAGACATGGTGATAAACAACCCATAAACAGTTATGTGGTGTTAGCAGACCCCGCATGTTGATACTCTATCAAGGAATGCAATGCTTTATGACGAACAGAGTGAGAACTTCAGGATTCCTGCTGGAGTGCCTTGACTCATTGACTGATGACCTTGCCCCAAGATGAGGCATGCTAGAACCTACCCCCCGACCACATTGGGGATGGTCTCAAACCTTAAGCGGGCGGCTTGTACAATCCAGATATATCCAGATCAATCCAGGCTGTTTTTTTTGGGTCAGCAAGCTGATGTTGTGACCATGGTTCCTGTTTGGTATGGTGGGTGAGCACTAGTCTCGGATTGCGACTTTCATGTCAAGTTCTATTTGCTTAGCTTAGAGGAAGCGGGCTCCAAAGCAATTCTTGCCACGTTTGAGCCGCATTTCGCAGCGGCACACAGTTTTTTAGCCATGCTACAAAAAAGAGGACCCGACTGATTCTGACCCGGCGCCTCCCCAGACTGATCTGGATAACAGCACGGCTTCAGGTGTCTATGAGGGCATTCAGGACGCGCAGACGTTTCTTGCCGGGCGCCGTTTGTGTTCCAAGACAGACCCCACGGATGTCACCTGAGATGTGTGGTGGGTTGATCATCTCCGGAGCAGATCCGTCCTCTCAAGATGACCAAGCAACAAGGGTAGACAATTGGCCCTGCAATTGGTGCAGGGCCAATTTTCTACCTAGGAGGACGGGCTGATCTTGCTGCGCAGGGACGGAGAAGTGCTGCTTGACTTCCATCAGCCTTTCTGGGCGTGGAGGTTGGGGAGCACATTTCAGGTTCGAGGGTGAGATTTCGGTGTCATAGTTCATGCGCGCCATTCAAATCACGTCGGGCGGGGCATCTCACGAATCGCTACGGAGTAAACGGCATGCTGAGCTTTGGGGCTTGCTGAACTCTTTGGGTTGCTGGTGGGCATCAACTTCAGGTAGCAAAGGGAGCCTGAGCCAACCATTTATTGGGGCCAATTTGAGCAAAGATGAAATAACCGTCCTCTCTGCAACAATCAAACAGTTTCGTGTGTACCTTTGGCAGTGCCCGGTCACGGCTGCTCCTGATATGGGAGGGAGGGAGGGAGGGAGGGAGGGAGGGAGGGAGGGAGGGAGGGAGGGAGGGAGGAGGGAGGGAGGGAGGGAGGGAGGGAGGGAGGGAGGGAGGGCGGGGGGGAGGGAGGGAGGGAGGCAGGGAGGGAGGGAGGGAGGGAGGGAGGGCACGGAACTCTTGTTTTCCAGTGTCCGCTGCGTGGAAGGCATCTTTTGCAACTGGCTCATCTAAGGACCGCGTTTCCTTCCGGGGAAATCATACCCCCACCAGCTGGAGCCAAGTGAGAAAAAGCGGCGCTGCCTGTGGAAGTGTGCATGGCGCCATGCACGCCAGTAGGTAAAGGTTGGCAAATGTTCAATCGTGAGGCTGGGATGGCATGTTGACCACGCCGTCGCCGCGTCTTCATTTGGCTGCTGAGGGGGAGCGTGCTCAAAGCGCGAACGCGGGCCTTTCGGCTCAGGTTTTGATTCCCCAAACTGAGACCCTCTGCGCAGAAGCCGCAACACGCACCGCCGGCCTGCCTGGACTTTGTGTTTTGTGAGGGCGTGTGCGGTTTGGTCAAAACATTTAGCAGCATGGTCCATTTGTGGGGGACACGGGGACACGCTAAATTCTCATTAAGAACGAGGGAGTCTCTATTCTCCCCTTCTGTGAGGTAACGGAATTTAGATCATGGCTCATCAGGGACACAGCAGACACCCAATTTGCGAAAGCCAGGTTGATAGCCTGAACTCTCATTCATATGAGGGCAACAGCCCTAGGAACCCTGACACATCTGCCTTGCAGGAAGCGACTGCTAGATCAGAACGTTTGTTCTCTGAAGAATGGGTGCGCGGCGCTCACAGCGCATCAAAGATTCCAGGCACAGCCTCTACGATGTTTTCCTAAATGAAACACAGTTGGGGATTCCTTTTTTTCAAGTTGGTGAATGCTTGGAATTTGTGCAAAGGTATGGCAAGCAGCTCAGACACTTGTTTGGCGGCTCATTGCTTTAGCGCTTTTTGAGAACCGCTTGCAGTCAAGGCTCCACACTTTCATATTGGTTCCCTTTCCGACCGTCTACACTGGTCGCAACTGAACTTGAGGCCATGTTCCGGCTTTTGGCCGCGTTGGCCTTGCTGGCCGCAGGCTGCAGGGTTGCAAGTACGGTTAGCATTCTCGCTGCAGGATGCGTGTATGTGCGTGTTGGGTTTTTGGCTAAGAGGGCGATAGATTGAATCTTGCTCCATGACATCCATTACATCCATGACACTAGCGTTACCCCCCCCCCCCTCGGCCACCCAGCTTTTGGTCTTGTTGTTTTGGGGAAACCTGCGGAAAAAAAGCGGGATACTTGGTCTCCCGGAGGTGTGGCCAGAGCAGAGGAAGCTGAGGCGGAGGCAGAGAAGGTAGTAGATGGCTTCAGCGACACTGACCGTGCCAAGATGACTGAGTCTTCGGAGAAGCACGAGTTCCAGGCTGAGGTGAACCGATTGATGGACATCATCATCAACTCGCTGTACACCGACAAGCAGGTTTTCTTGCGAGAGCTTATCTCCAACGCAGCAGACGCTTTGGAGAAGGCCCGCTTCCACAGCGTGCAAGACGAGACCTTCCTGGGCGACACCAAGGACTTGGAGGTGAAGATCGAGCACGATGCTGATGCAAAGACGATCTCCATCATCGACACTGGCGTTGGCATGTCCAAGGCAGACTTGATCAACAACTTGGGTACCGTGGCCAAGTCCGGTACCACCAATTTCCTTGAGGCCATGGCCGAGGGAGGCGACGCGAACCTGATCGGGCAGTTCGGTGTGGGTTTCTACAGTGCCTTCCTTGTTGCAGACAAAGTCTCCGTGACGTCCAAGTGCAACGACGACCCCGTGCAGCACGTCTGGGAATCCTCCGCAGATGCTTCCTTCACGGTTGTGGATGACCCTCGGGGCAACACGCTGGGCCGCGGCACTCGCGTGACCCTGCATCTGAAGGAGGATGCGCATGACTACTTGTCGGAGGACAAGCTGAAGGAGAGCGCGAAGAAGTACTCCCAGTTCATTCAATACCCCATCTACGTGAAGGTGAAGAAGGAGGTGGATGTCGAGGCAGATGAGGATGACGACGACGACAAGGATGACGAAGACGAGGAGAAAAAGGATGACGTGGAGACGAAGGACGAGGAGGAGAAAGAGGAGGAGGACAAGAAGCCCAAGAAGAAGACCGTCTTTGAGTGGGAGCAGGTGAACACTCAGAAGGCCATTTGGTTGCGTGCCAAGGAAGATGTGACTGAGGAGGAGTACAATGAGTTCTACAAGAGCATCTCGAAGGACTACCTGGACCCTTTGGCCTACACTCACTTCAACGCGGAGGGCGAGATTGAGTTCAAGTCCATTTTGTTCCTGCCCAAGAAGGCTCCCTTCGACATGATGGACAACTACTGGACCAAGAAGTCCGAGGTGAAGCTCTTCGTGCGCCGAGTGCTAGTGGCTGAGAAGTTCGACGAGCTGCTTCCCCGATACCTGAACTTCGTGAGGGGCGTGGTGGACTCAGATGACTTGCCCCTGAACGTGTCCCGAGAGCAGCTTCAGCAGAACAAGATCATGAAGGTGATCTCCAAGAAGCTGGTGCGCAAGGTCTTGGAGCTGATGAAGAAGCTGGCAAAGGACGAGGAGTCTGGTGGCGACGACGAGGACGAGGAAGGCGAGGACAAGGAGAAGGAGGAGGAAGAGAAGAAGGAGAAGAAGGACGAGGAGGGCCTTTGGACCAAATTTTGGAAGGAGTTTAACAAGAACTTGAAGATGGGCTGCTACGAGGACGACTCCAACCGCTCCAAGCTGTCCAAGCTGCTGCGCTTCTTCACCACAAAGTCTGATGGCAAGGAGATCAGCTTGGACAAATACTTGGACCGCATGCAGGAGAGCCAAGAGAGCATCTACTACATGTCGGGCGACTCCATCGAGACCATGAAGAAGGCCCCGGCTCTTCAGATCTTCATGAAGAAGGATCTCGAGGTTCTCATGCTGCCGGACCACCTGGATGAGCCCTGCTTGCAGAAGCTCGCGGACTACGAGGGCAAGAAGTTTGTGTCCATCCAGAAGGCCGATGTGAAGCTGGACGAGACAGAGGAGGAGAAGAAGAAGTTCAACAAGATCAAGGACATGTACAAGCCTTTGACAGACTGGTGGAAGAAGAAGCTGACTGACCTGACCGAGAGCGGTGCCATGAAAGAGGCAGGTGTGAAGGTGGAGAAAGTGGAAGTCTCCAAGAGGCTCACGGAGTCGCCAGTTGTGGTCGTGACCTCGCAGTTTGGCTACTCTGCCCAGCAAGAGAAGGTCATGAAGTCGCAGGCTTTCCAGAACAAGGAGCAGCTGTCCATGATGGCAGGCCGAAAGACTTTGGAGATCAACCCCAACCACCCAGTGATCGTGGACCTCCTTGCCAAGATCAAGGTCAGTGAGAGCGACCCGGCAGCCGTCAAGACTGCCGAGGTGCTGTTCCAAACTGCCCTGATTGAGTCCGGCTATGAGATTGCGGACCCCTCCTCCCTGGTGAGCCACGTCTACAAGCTTATGTCCAAGGAGCTCGGGGTGAACCCTGATGCTCCCATGAAGGAGATCGAGGTGCCAGAGGATGAGGAGGAAGCTGAAGAGGAGGAGAAGGACGACGGTGACGACAGCGAGGAGGATGCCAAGGAGGAGAAGGAGGACCTGTGAGAAGTCTTGATGCCAAGAAGCCCAGGTGAATAAGCCTCGGTTGTTAATGTTCCGCCAGTGAGCTTCGAAAGCTTCATCGGCATTTGGCTGTCTTTGCACAGCGGGAAGATGCTGAAAGCACACGCGTAGATGGATGCCTTCAGTTTTGGGTTACGTTGGTCTCCAGCAAGTGAGACAAAGACCTCCCTTTTCTGGGAAGAAACAGAGTGGCCCCTCGCTCACCAAAAGAGCGGCTTTGAGCGGGGATGCAGTCAGCATGCAGCGCTGCCTACGTTGGCCTCCAGTTGCAAGCGAGGGAGAGTTCAAGGAGTTGTCTGGACTGTTGAAAGGCAATCCTGAAGTAAGAGGCAATCCTCAATCCTTCCCTTCGTTTATTGTGTAAGCGCCGCGAATATATATATATATATATATACACATTGCAGAACAATAGTTTCCTTCTCAGCAGTCGGGTTGCAGAAATCTTGAGCTAGGCTGGTGACAGAAGCCGAGTGACATGCTTCTAGACATGTCCTGAATGGCATTTGCACCGTACGGCGGCTCAAACAGGGTTTTGTGTCCCAGACTGTACGAGGATCCTTCTCGGCGTCCGGCACTCAGGGGCAGAGGGCAGCAAAAGAAACCATCAGAAAGTGTTTTGTGAAATATGGCATAGCCATATTAGTCGCCTGCCACATTGCCCGAGGCCATGTTCCGGCTTTGGGCCGCGTTGGCCTTGCTGGCCGCAGGCTGCAGGGTTGCAAGTACGGTTAGCATTCTCGCTGCAGGATGCGTGTATGTGCGTGTTGGGTTTTTGGCTAAGAGGGCGATAGATTGAATCTTGCTCCATGACATCCATTACATCCATGACACTAGCGTTACCCCCCCCCCCCTCGGCCACCCAGCTTTTGGTCTTGTTGTTTTGGGGAAACCTGCGGAAAAAAAGCGGGATACTTGGTCTCCCGGAGGTGTGGCCAGAGCAGAGGAAGCTGAGGCGGAGGCAGAGAAGGTAGTAGATGGCTTCAGCGACACTGACCGTGCCAAGATGACTGAGTCTTCGGAGAAGCACGAGTTCCAGGCTGAGGTGAACCGATTGATGGACATCATCATCAACTCGCTGTACACCGACAAGCAGGTTTTCTTGCGAGAGCTTATCTCCAACGCAGCAGACGCTTTGGAGAAGGCCCGCTTCCACAGCGTGCAAGACGAGACCTTCCTGGGCGACACCAAGGACTTGGAGGTGAAGATCGAGCACGATGCTGATGCAAAGACGATCTCCATCATCGACACTGGCGTTGGCATGTCCAAGGCAGACTTGATCAACAACTTGGGTACCGTGGCCAAGTCCGGTACCACCAATTTCCTTGAGGCCATGGCCGAGGGAGGCGACGCGAACCTGATCGGGCAGTTCGGTGTGGGTTTCTACAGTGCCTTCCTTGTTGCAGACAAAGTCTCCGTGACGTCCAAGTGCAACGACGACCCCGTGCAGCACGTCTGGGAATCCTCCGCAGATGCTTCCTTCACGGTTGTGGATGACCCTCGGGGCAACACGCTGGGCCGCGGCACTCGCGTGACCCTGCATCTGAAGGAGGATGCGCATGACTACTTGTCGGAGGACAAGCTGAAGGAGAGCGCGAAGAAGTACTCCCAGTTCATTCAATACCCCATCTACGTGAAGGTGAAGAAGGAGGTGGATGTCGAGGCAGATGAGGATGACGACGACGACAAGGATGACGAAGACGAGGAGAAAAAGGATGACGTGGAGACGAAGGACGAGGAGGAGAAAGAGGAGGAGGACAAGAAGCCCAAGAAGAAGACCGTCTTTGAGTGGGAGCAGGTGAACACTCAGAAGGCCATTTGGTTGCGTGCCAAGGAAGATGTGACTGAGGAGGAGTACAATGAGTTCTACAAGAGCATCTCGAAGGACTACCTGGACCCTTTGGCCTACACTCACTTCAACGCGGAGGGCGAGATTGAGTTCAAGTCCATTTTGTTCCTGCCCAAGAAGGCTCCCTTCGACATGATGGACAACTACTGGACCAAGAAGTCCGAGGTGAAGCTCTTCGTGCGCCGAGTGCTGGTGGCTGAGAAGTTCGACGAGCTGCTTCCCCGATACCTGAACTTCGTGAGGGGCGTGGTGGACTCAGATGACTTGCCCCTGAACGTGTCCCGAGAGCAGCTTCAGCAGAACAAGATCATGAAGGTGATCTCCAAGAAGCTGGTGCGCAAGGTCTTGGAGCTGATGAAGAAGCTGGCAAAGGACGAGGAGTCTGGTGGCGACGACGAGGACGAGGAAGGCGAGGACAAGGAGAAGGAGGAGGAAGAGAAGAAGGAGAAGAAGGACGAGGAGGGCCTTTGGACCAAATTTTGGAAGGAGTTTAACAAGAACTTGAAGATGGGCTGCTACGAGGACGACTCCAACCGCTCCAAGCTGTCCAAGCTGCTGCGCTTCTTCACCACAAAGTCTGATGGCAAGGAGATCAGCTTGGACAAATACTTGGACCGCATGCAGGAGAGCCAAGAGAGCATCTACTACATGTCGGGCGACTCCATCGAGACCATGAAGAAGGCCCCAGCTCTTCAGATCTTCATGAAGAAGGATCTCGAGGTTCTCATGCTGCCGGACCACCTGGATGAGCCCTGCTTGCAGAAGCTCGCGGACTACGAGGGCAAGAAGTTTGTGTCCATCCAGAAGGCCGATGTGAAGCTGGACGAGACAGAGGAGGAGAAGAAGAAGTTCAACAAGATCAAGGACATGTACAAGCCTTTGACAGACTGGTGGAAGAAGAAGCTGACTGACCTGACCGAGAGCGGTGCCATGAAAGAGGCAGGTGTGAAGGTGGAGAAAGTGGAAGTCTCCAAGAGGCTCACGGAGTCGCCAGTTGTGGTCGTGACCTCGCAGTTTGGCTACTCTGCCCAGCAAGAGAAGGTCATGAAGTCGCAGGCTTTCCAGAACAAGGAGCAGCTGTCCATGATGGCAGGCCGAAAGACTTTGGAGATCAACCCCAACCACCCAGTGATCGTGGACCTCCTTGCCAAGATCAAGGTCAGTGAGAGCGACCCGGCAGCCGTCAAGACTGCCGAGGTGCTGTTCCAAACTGCCCTGATTGAGTCCGGCTATGAGATTGCGGACCCCTCCTCCCTGGTGAGCCACGTCTACAAGCTTATGTCCAAGGAGCTCGGGGTGAACCCTGATGCTCCCATGAAGGAGATCGAGGTGCCAGAGGATGAGGAGGAAGCTGAAGAGGAGGAGAAGGACGACGGTGACGACAGCGAGGAGGATGCCAAGGAGGAGAAGGAAGACCTGTAAGCATTGCAGCGTGCCAGAGCCATCAGCCTGGGCTTTTGGTTCCTTGGCCAATCACAAAGGCCGCAAAGATAATGGATTGAGCTGTTCCACAACGTGGAGCTCACAAGATGAGATCAGCTTTGGGGGCTTAAGCGCCTATCCGGCTGCATGCTCTCCAGGATTTTGATGGGATTCGCCCTTTGCATGTTGCTTTGCAAAGACCAACAGCCCTTGAGGGCTGAAAAACAGCGCCCATGAGAAGGCAAAACGTGTGTCGTGTGCGACACAGGATTGCAGATAACTGTTTTACGTATGTGTTCAATCAAATCCATCATTTGAACATGTGTGAACCGGGTTTTTCTTCCTTACTGCATGAACTTGGCATATCTCTCAGAGTTCGCACGTTGCATTGCTGCCCTGAATTTTCTCAAACATACCTAGCCTGACTCCCCCTCAGGCAGTGGGCGTTTCTTGGCCTTCAGTAGCGAGGTTCGGAGAGGCCTTTTTGGACTTTCATTGACTGGGAAGCAAAGCGGCCGAATCATCCTACAGGGTTCCCGAAAGGATGGTTCTATTCTTTGGGGGAAGACCGACTCCCGTGTTTCCTCCAAAAGACAACCCTGGTTAAGATGGGGCTCTTGTCCGCCCGAGACGCGTGGGCATATTCCTGTCAACACAGTGATTTGCAGGAAAGAGCTCGGTCATTGTGTCTTCATTTGGAGAATGATCAGTTGCGTTTGTTTGAATTTCAGAGCAGCGTTTCTGACTCACTGTAGGAGTTGTTCAAGATTGGAATCGATGACCCGCCACACGCGGATCCATGACCTTTCCAGGTGCCTTTTTGCAGGAAATGTTCGCATGCCGGTGGCTCGAAACAGGGTGTTGTGTCCCAGACTGCGCGTGCATCCTTGTGTTCGGCGTGCGGCACTCAGGAGGGCCCAGGAGATGCCATGCAGGGGGGAGGGGTGAAGCAGAGGGCCACAACCCAGGCGCGCGAGCACAGGAAGCACCAGAGAGCAATAGCAGGCACAGAAAGCAACTCTCCAGGCAAAACGAAGCGGCATGCCTGCCACATTGACCGAGGCCATGTTCCGGCTTTGGGCCGCGTTGGCCTTGCTGGCCGCAGGCTGCAGGGTTGCAAGTACGGTTAGCATTCTCGCTGCAGGATGCGTGTATGTGCGTGTTGGGTTTTTGGATAAGAGGGCGATAGATTGAATCTTGCTCCATGACATCCATTACATCCATGACACTAGCGTTACCCCCCCCCCCTCGGCCACCCAGCTTTTGGTCTTGTTGTTTTGGGGAAACCTGCGAAAAAAAGCGGGATACTTGGTCTCCCGGAGGTGTGGCCAGAGCAGAGGAAGCTGAGGCGGAGGCAGAGAAGGTAGTAGATGGCTTCAGCGACACTGACCGTGCCAAGATGACTGAGTCTTCGGAGAAGCACGAGTTCCAGGCTGAGGTGAACCGATTGATGGACATCATCATCAACTCGCTGTACACCGACAAGCAGGTTTTCTTGCGAGAGCTTATCTCCAACGCAGCAGACGCTTTGGAGAAGGCCCGCTTCCACAGCGTGCAAGACGAGACCTTCCTGGGCGACACCAAGGACTTGGAGGTGAAGATCGAGCACGATGCTGATGCAAAGACGATCTCCATCATCGACACTGGCGTTGGCATGTCCAAGGCAGACTTGATCAACAACTTGGGTACCGTGGCCAAGTCCGGTACCACCAATTTCCTTGAGGCCATGGCCGAGGGAGGCGACGCGAACCTGATCGGGCAGTTCGGTGTGGGTTTCTACAGTGCCTTCCTTGTTGCAGACAAAGTCTCCGTGACGTCCAAGTGCAACGACGACCCCGTGCAGCACGTCTGGGAATCCTCCGCAGATGCTTCCTTCACGGTTGTGGATGACCCTCGGGGCAACACGCTGGGCCGCGGCACTCGCGTGACCCTGCATCTGAAGGAGGATGCGCATGACTACTTGTCGGAGGACAAGCTGAAGGAGAGCGCGAAGAAGTACTCCCAGTTCATTCAATACCCCATCTACGTGAAGGTGAAGAAGGAGGTGGATGTCGAGGCAGATGAGGATGACGACGACGACAAGGATGACGAAGACGAGGAGAAAAAGGATGACGTGGAGACGAAGGACGAGGAGGAGAAAGAGGAGGAGGACAAGAAGCCCAAGAAGAAGACCGTCTTTGAGTGGGAGCAGGTGAACACTCAGAAGGCCATTTGGTTGCGTGCCAAGGAAGATGTGACTGAGGAGGAGTACAATGAGTTCTACAAGAGCATCTCGAAGGACTACCTGGACCCTTTGGCCTACACTCACTTCAACGCGGAGGGCGAGATTGAGTTCAAGTCCATTTTGTTCCTGCCCAAGAAGGCTCCCTTCGACATGATGGACAACTACTGGACCAAGAAGTCCGAGGTGAAGCTCTTCGTGCGCCGAGTGCTGGTGGCTGAGAAGTTCGACGAGCTGCTTCCCCGATACCTGAACTTCGTGAGGGGCGTGGTGGACTCAGATGACTTGCCCCTGAACGTGTCCCGAGAGCAGCTTCAGCAGAACAAGATCATGAAGGTGATCTCCAAGAAGCTGGTGCGCAAGGTCTTGGAGCTGATGAAGAAGCTGGCAAAGGACGAGGAGTCTGGTGGCGACGACGAGGACGAGGAAGGCGAGGACAAGGAGAAGGAGGAGGAAGAGAAGAAGGAGAAGAAGGACGAGGAGGGCCTTTGGACCAAATTTTGGAAGGAGTTTAACAAGAACTTGAAGATGGGCTGCTACGAGGACGACTCCAACCGCTCCAAGCTGTCCAAGCTGCTGCGCTTCTTCACCACAAAGTCTGATGGCAAGGAGATCAGCTTGGACAAATACTTGGACCGCATGCAGGAGAGCCAAGAGAGCATCTACTACATGTCGGGCGACTCCATCGAGACCATGAAGAAGGCCCCGGCTCTTCAGATCTTCATGAAGAAGGATCTCGAGGTTCTCATGCTGCCGGACCACCTGGATGAGCCCTGCTTGCAGAAGCTCGCGGACTACGAGGGCAAGAAGTTTGTGTCCATCCAGAAGGCCGATGTGAAGCTGGACGAGACAGAGGAGGAGAAGAAGAAGTTCAACAAGATCAAGGACATGTACAAGCCTTTGACAGACTGGTGGAAGAAGAAGCTGACTGACCTGACCGAGAGCGGTGCCATGAAAGAGGCAGGTGTGAAGGTGGAGAAAGTGGAAGTCTCCAAGAGGCTCACGGAGTCGCCAGTTGTGGTCGTGACCTCGCAGTTTGGCTACTCTGCCCAGCAAGAGAAGGTCATGAAGTCGCAGGCTTTCCAGAACAAGGAGCAGCTGTCCATGATGGCAGGCCGAAAGACTTTGGAGATCAACCCCAACCACCCAGTGATCGTGGACCTCCTTGCCAAGATCAAGGTCAGTGAGAGCGACCCGGCAGCCGTCAAGACTGCCGAGGTGCTGTTCCAAACTGCCCTGATTGAGTCCGGCTATGAGATTGCGGACCCCTCCTCCCTGGTGAGCCACGTCTACAAGCTTATGTCCAAGGAGCTCGGGGTGAACCCTGATGCTCCCATGAAGGAGATCGAGGTGCCAGAGGATGAGGAGGAAGCTGAAGAGGAGGAGAAGGACGACGGTGACGACAGCGAGGAGGATGCCAAGGAGGAGAAGGAAGACCTGTAAGCATTGCAGCGTGCCAGAGCCATCAGCCTGGGCTTTTGGTTCCTTGGCCAATCACAAAGGCCGCAAAGATAATGGATTGAGCTGTTCCACAACGTGGAGCTCACAAGATGAGATCAGCTTTGGGGGCTTAAGCGCCTATCCGGCTGCATGCTCTCCAGGATTTTGATGGGATTCGCCCTTTGCATGTTGCTTTGCAAAGACCAACAGCCCTTGAGGGCTGAAAAACAGCGCCCATGAGAAGGCAAAACGTGCTTGTGTTGCTTGCTGGGCCTGTACGTTGGTGCGCAGCTTGTCTCAAGGAATTGGTGCTTGGATCCCGTTGCAAGAGTCATGGCTGGGCACCCCGTAATTTCCTTGTTAGAACTCAAATCAGTAGATGCAACCCATAAAATGGAAGACAGACGAAGAGCACCGGTCGCAAAGCAGGGCTTTGTTGCCTGCCTTGTTGGCAAGCCAAAACTATTAAGATATTTTATTCGACGAGGTGTTTGGAGGCGCAGCAAGTTTTCCCCCAGTCCGAATGTTCGACTTGTATTCCGCTACATTTGGCCAGTGCTTTCGGTTGGAAGGCACCAGCGTGATCAGGATAAGCTTTTGCTATTTGACGCAAAGTCCGAGCAGCATGCATAGCCCAGCATCTAGCAGAAGTAGCATGTCAAACTTGGCTCTCAACCAGCAGTGATCGAAATCGTCCTAAGACCAGCAGGCTGGGGGTGGGTGGGAAGTTATCAGACGATCCGTGCGGGATGGTGGAAAAGCCCTTGGCTTTTGTTGACAGACGGAGGGCATGCCCGTTTCCATGGCGAATGCAAAGCAGCTTTTGCAGGGAAGTGTCACTGGAATACGTCGGTGGCAATGCCCCAAACCCTGTCACATGCGCTTGTTTGTCGTAACGCATATCTTTCCCACGGGGTTCAAAAGAATTTGGAGGCATTCCCAGGCCAGCACCAGAGATTCAACGGGGATGGGCTTTGAGATCATCACCCATCCGTTTCTCTGCAAGAGGAAGACGCGGCCAATGGCTTGTTTCAAAATCTGGAAGCCGGGTCAGTTCAAGTCGTCTTCCAAAAGTGGTCTGTGCAAAGCGGTTGTTGACTCCTGGATTTGGTGGGCGGGTACTGGTTTCCGGGAGCGCCACCAATTTTCAGAATCGGCTTCTGTGTAGCCCCGAAGCTTGAATTTATTTGATTCAAACATTGCGCGCGCGCGGGGCGCGGGATGGTCGTTGTCCTCTTTTGGAATTTCCAGGCATCAATGGTACAACTGTTTGCAACCAGATGTGGCAAACAGTGCGACCTTCGCAGCCATTTGATTACATTCCACTGACACAATCTCAGGTTACTCACAGATCCCTACCGTCGCTCAGGGCCATGGGAAATAAGAACTCTGCCTTTGAGACCAAGCTCAAGGCCAAGGAGACACAGCATGACTTTGGGTTCGGGAGATGCCGAGGCAGGAGTCGGCACCCCTATCTTTTGTTCTTCCTTTCTTCGTTCTTTCTTTCGGTTCAGTGTGATTTAAGCCGACAACCCTTGTTGCACAGCCACTAGATCCAAAAGAGCCATCAATTAGCAGATCTTTTGTGTAGCTCTTTGTTTTCAAACATTGTGCTCTTTGCTGGCGGAAGCCCGACAGCATGCTCAGGTGCAGCTGCTGTATCGCAATAGGCACTTGTGCTGAGTTGTGCATCCCCTTGTCAATCACCCGTGGAAATTATTGAAGCGCGAAACATGCTCGGCCTGGCAACATTCGCTATCAATTAAATGTGAGTCATGCGCATGCAGGATGAACGCCCTTTAACCTGGAATTCATAATGGCGTTATGGGCACCGCAGGGGAAGGTCAGATGTGATGTAATTCACAATGGCTGTCTCCACATAATACACGATTTCTAACTCATCCCAGGTATGTAACCTGCTTGCAACAGTTTTAGACAAGATTATAGATGCAATATGTCACTGCAGATATATAATTTCTCCAGTGTGCAGAAGATATTGAAAGGGAGCACGGCTGGGGAAACCTTTGAAAGGCCTGAGGATTCTGGCCTCCGCCGACTGGCGTGCTCTTGTTGTTCTGAAGCTGTGCCTCCTGTCGTCCCCAATTGCCAAGGGAGGGTCTTCTTTTCGCAAGTGACTTAGTGATACTGACTTGTTCCTTTGGTTTTGGTCTCCATTGAGGCAACCATCCCAATCGGAAAGCCAGACAGGTCTTGCTCCCCTGAGCTTCGTCCGGCTGGGCCCCGCCTTTGTCAGGAGTGGCAGTGGGAGCTGGGCCGTGAGGCAATTCGGGGGCGATGTGACAGGCGATCTGGGCCCAATGTGTCCCCTGGGTAACGGGGATCTTTATCTTGGGTTGACTTGGTACCCAGTTTCTAAAAATTGCATCCCTAAACATCATGGGGTCATGGGGTTGCCAATTCAAAGGAGTTTCCTTTTGGGTTGATGAAAAGGGAACCCTGGCGCAATTCACCAACCAGAAAAAGGGGTCCCTTAAGGCTCCCTCAAGCGTGCCTCATTTGATCCGAGCTTTGAGCACCACATGCATTCCTGAGCTTTGCAATTTGCCATTGCTTCAAGACGGAGTGGATTGGTATGGGCTCTCAGAAAAATAAAGGGGAGGCCATTTCCTCCAAACGCCAATTAACACATCTGGTTTGTGGGACATCTAATGCATTTCTGGGCTCTGGACATTGTGTCCCAAAGCATCGGGTTGTTCCAGGCTTATGTTTTTCTTTTTGAAGTGTAAATGCAAGCTGTTGGAAGGATGCGGATGGACTGGATTCAGTGTTTGGTTATTGCTTCCAGAGTCTTTTTTCCTGTGAAGCCTGGAACATCCCCCGATTAATTCACCTAAGATGCTACAATATTATATAAGTACTCGGCAAGAGACGACACTTGTACTTGGAGCCGTTGGTTTCAGCAGGACTTCATGCCAGAGTTGGCAACAGGGGTTGAAGCGTTGCACATTTGGTCCACCTTTGAAAGGCAGGCCTGCGGTATTGGCACGTCGCATCAGGCCAAGCACTTGGACAAAGAGATTGTCAAGATTCAGAAGGATGAAGCTGCTTGGCCGATTCAAGTTGGTCCATTAGCTTCCAATCGCGTTGGTCGAAAACAGCTTCCAATCGCTGGGCTGGACTGCTGCTGCCCGCTTCAGGAGACTACTGTTGCGATCCTTGCAAGTCTCTTTGCCCAAGGCCAAGCTCCAAGACCAGATCCGAATGCAGGCGCAGGGGCAAAGGGTCGGGGGAGGGCGGGATTTGTTTTTTTGGATCAGGCGCTGCCGGTTTTTTGGCCTGATAACCTAAAGGAAGAAATTAAATTGATGTGAACCAGCAGGTTTTGCGATTGGAGAAACAGGCCCCCCCCCCGCCCCGCATGGGGGTCGGAGTCAATAGCAACAAACACTGTTGGTTTCGGGGGGTCCAACCGCGACAGGGGCGCGGTTTCCAGAGTGAATGATTGGGCCGGCGGAAGAATCGCAAGGTGTCTTAGGGACACATCGGAACCGTTTCGCCGGCAACAGACACCCGGCTGTTTGTCAAAGAGATGGTGGGGAGGAACCCAGCCTCGTCAATGCGCATCGGCCATGTTGCCATCAGTCAGCTCGATGGCGGTGCTGGAAAGGTTGGGATGTTCACAGCCACAGACTGCCATGGAGCAATTCGCAATCATAGCAAGTTGTCGTGCATGGTTCGGCAAATATCTGAGCCTCTTTTGGGCAACCAAGCAGGTGGCTTTTTGCCTGCATCCGGAACTGCCGAGCAAACCAAACCCACCAGGACTCCCTTGCCCCAACATGTGATACTCCCCCTTGCTCGCGGGCGCGTGCAGGCGGATAAGGGCAACACAGAGGCAGTGCAGCTCCTGGCGCGGCCCGGGCTGCCAAGCAGAGCGCGCGAACCGGTGGATGGGTTGCCCACTGGTAGGGAAACTGGTATATGTGGTTGGTGGTTGGTGGTTTTGAGGGTTTCCACCGATCCGGGGGTCCTTTCCTTTGCGATCCGGATCCTGTTTGAGATTTTGGGCATACTGCAGGATTTGCAGATTTGTGCTGTGTGCGTGTGTGTTCTCCCCCCTGTTGGTTGGTTTCACACTCACGTCACTCATGTCCTATTAAAGGTGAAACTATCCTCCTTCCAACAATCAGGGACGTGCACAGGGAGGTCCCAAGAAAAGGAACTTGACAGCTTCCATGATCGTTAGAGGGAGGGTATATGGTCTAAACTCGGCCACTCACGTTCTGAACCGAAAGGCCTTTGTTAGCAGACATTACAGGGCTGCTAGTTGCTGTGCTTGCTGTGCTTGCTGTGCTTGCTGTGCTTGCTGTGCTTGCTGTGCTTGCTGTGCTTGCTGTGCTTGCTGTGCTTGCTGTGCTTGCTGTGCTTGCTGTCCTTGCTGTGCTTGGTGTGCTTGCTGTGCTTGCTGTGCTTGCTGTGCTTGCTGTGCTTGCTGTGCTTGCAGTGCTTGCTGTGCTTGCTGTGCTTGCTGTGCTTGCTGTGCTTGCTGTGCTTGCTGTCCTTGTTGTGCTTGCCGTGCTTGCCGTGCTTGCTGTGCTTGCTGTGCTTGCTGTGCTTGCTGTGCTTGCTGTGCTTGCTGTGCTTGCTGTGCTTGCTGTGCTTGCTGTGCTTGCTGTGCTGGCTGTGCTTGCTGTGCTTGCTGTGCTTGCTGTGCTTGCTGTGCTTGCTGTGCTTGCTGTGCTTGCTGTGCTTGTTGTGCTTGCTGTGCTTGCTGTGCTTGCTGTGCTTGCTGTGCTTGCTGTGCTTGCTGTGCTTGCTGTGCTTGCTGTGCTTGCTGTGCTTGTTGTGTTTGTTGTGCTTGTTGTTCGTGCGGCCGCCCAGGTCAGTGGTGAAAACGCGGAAGGCGGTGGCGAGATTAGAGAAGACGAAGGCTGGAGCATGCCCCGCCGTGGGGTCAAGGGCGAGTTGCACAAAATTCAAAGGGAAGCAGCTCACATCCGTCAAATCGAGGCGATTGGGTGCATGTTCATGGATGCAAGTTTTCATCCACCTCTAGGATCATCCATGAAGCTTCGGATTATGGGCCCGCTGCGCAAGGGCCCTGTGAGGGGACCTTAGATTCGGCAGAAGATTTTGGAGAGCAGAGGAGCTATCAGGCGATGGCTCAGATGCCCAGCCAGTTTTTTTGTGCCGCCACTTCAAAGGGTACACGAGGGCGGCCCTACTCAAACAATCCGCTGCAGCAACGGCATTTGTGTTGCTCCCTTGCCATGCCGAGAGAAGTGGCTTGAAAGCTCATGGCGCTGTGCAATGGTAACTGATTGGTTCCAGTATCCACTCTGCATGAACAAGCCAACTGCGTCGGCACTCGCCAACAGCATTCAAGGTCCATTAAATCCGGCCTTTCTGAACTTTCAACCCTCCATCTACTCCATCTACTTTCAGCCTATACCACTGCACGCCTTTTAAGGGACCCTTTTTTCCCCCGCTGGGTTCGCGGACTTTAAGGCCTCCAAGTCCGAGTCACGTCGGTTCCCGGAGGCCTCGATGGAGGCGGTGAAGCTGCAGCTCACGACGCACATGGCCTCCATCAGCACCTCCCAGTCCATCCGCCTCTCCTCGCTCGGACACCCGGCACCCGGCCAGGCGCAGCTCGAAGGGCGGACTCAAACTCGATGGCTGGGCATGCTGGGCATGCTGGGCACTCTCCCCCGCAGATGCGTTGAGATGGGCCGAATATGTACTTGGCACACTAAACAAGGGCATCCACACAACACACTTACGTTGCTTGACAGGTGGAACCTCTCGCTGGTGGTTAAGAACTTTCAATGGGGAGGGGAGGGGAAGCGTACACTTAAACGCATTCCATGGTTGGACCGATTCGGTCAAGACACTCCCCAGATCTGTCTAACATCCCTCTCTGAGCATTCGTGTCGAATCCGCAACAACTTGAACTACAACACCAGAATTCAATAGAATTTCAAGATTCACTGTGCGAAGGAACCAATTCAATTTGCAAATGAGGCCATACGAGTTCTGCACCCCAGAGTGATGGCCTGGACGCAGGATTTGGGGTAGCATTTATTGATGGATAGAGTGGGGGAGGGGATTACCTTTGGACAGCACGCAGTCGCGTTTACACCCCACCCAGTTCCAGTTAGGCCCTTGTAGAAACTTTGCCACGTGTTGAGTTGGGACTTTTGAGTTGGGTTGTTTGCACGATTGATGGCCCTCGTGTTACTGTTTTGCGTGTAATGCGCAGTTTCTCGTCTCCCCAGCAGCAGTCCTTCAAGATAGCCAATACTAATACTTGTCCAGATGCTCTAGCAGACACTGGGCGGTGACTAAGGGACATCATGAAGAAGATGAATGCGATCGCACGAATTCCAGAAGTGAGCGAGACCATGCAGGAGCTGGCTGAAACGTCCATACTGAGTGCCTGCGCAGTTGTTCCATTTTATCACGATCAGCCACCCCCTCCGCCCCCCATGCTAAGAGGCCCAAAAGGCTTAGATTGTCCATTGTAGTGCAGGGCTTGTCATTCCTGGCTGGTGCTTCCGTTGTTTAGACAGATTCTGGATGGACGCATTGCTTGATTAAAAGTGGCAAGTATGGCAAAGGCATGCATACAACCGGCACTTTTCCTACTGACCATGTGACAATACAAGGATGCAAAAGAAGGTGAGACCTTTTGCAAAAAGGGCCCACGACACTTGGACGCTGAAAGGGCAGCACCAAAGACATTCTCGAGGTGGTCCTTCACACAAGGTCAGCTTGTGTGGTTTCACTTTTGCTTAAGCATCGGGCACTCGTGCTGAATTTGTTGGTGTGCTTGTTCTGAAGATCTTTGGATGAACATCGCAATTTATAATGGGAGTCTGAATGTGAGCCAGGGTCAACACTGCAATTTTTAATTTTACAGCTCCTTCACATGTAGGTCGAAGATCCGTAGGCGGTATGGTTGCTGCTGAACTGGTTCCCTATGCAGGACATGCGCTCTCAGATGGCCGCGTGTGCGGATGCAGAGGACGCCAACGGGTTTGACCCTTCCCCATAGATTGATACATGTTTCCTGGCCACAAGAATTCATGTGTAGAGGGGGCCGTTTTGTTTCTTCCAGTTGCGGGTAGGGACTGCGCCGTTTGATTTCTTCCAGTTGCGGGTAGGGACTGCGGGGGTGAAGCACCAGATTTTGTTTGTCCCGGAATGGATCCGAGATCTGTGGGCAGAATATTGATAGGTATCGGAGCATCCCAGACCAATCGGCTCCGTGCAGGACAGCATCGAAGAAGCTCTCAGGGAGGATGGCGAGGAGCATGAAGCGCCTCAGCTTTCAGCATGAATGCTCCGGGCATACGGTTTCATCTTCTTCCATCTTGAGAGCTCTACTTCTTGACGGTTTCCAGGTTTTCCGGGGTGCTTTGTTGAAGGGAAGGGTATGGACCCCATGGGTTCGAGAGGAATCGAATTGGAAGCTATGCTCGCTCCCCGAGGCTGCCAAGGAGGTGCAGAAGGTCTTGGAGGCAGAGTCTGAAATTTCAGGTAACCCCGGTGGTTTGGATTGAGGGGATTAGAACGATGGGAAACCATCCCTAACCACCCAACCAATCCAAACCACCAAGTAGAGGGAAGCTGATAATTTCCCAGGGTCAGGGTGGCTCACTGCTTTTGCATACTTTTGCCGTGCCCATCACATTTTTTTTTAAATTTTTTTTGGACCACTTGAGTGGGACCAGTTTGACTCGGGCCCTTCCCGAACTAAGGAATCCCTTTCTGGACTTTGGTTGCAAGGAAGCAAGAGGAAAGCATTTGTTTTGGTCGGGTTCCCCATATTTTGAGCGGAACCCACATGAGCCACACTCAGGCAGTTGGAGGTAGGGAGACAGTCCCAACCAGAAAAGTTGGTGCAGGGAGCATTCTTTAACTACACGGTTGCCGCCCGACTGCTGTAGTACCATATCTTGATTCGACTCGCTTGATCACTGGGGACCTCGTTTGGCATGCGATCTAGACCAACTAAAGCTGCCGCTTTTGTGGGCTAAAGCGGAGGTAGGCCCAAGGCTTTCCCATGCTTTACACATGCGCTGAGATTACCTGTTGATGAGCAGGTCCATTTGCACACGCATGCTCTGCTTAGTGGTGAATAGTGGCGATGGTTTTCAGGCTTGTTGCAGGCTAGACTATGTAGAAGGGGGCAGGACTGAGATTTGTTGTCTCCAGCAACAAACAAATGAGGACCAACCAACCTGTGTTGCCGCCTAGGTTGGCATTGTGGCATCTCGCAGTTGAAACTTCAGCCGTGACTTCAGTTTTCTGCATGAGCAGCGGACATGCATGGACATGCCATCGTGTTTGCTGCACACGAGTTTGTCTCCAAATTCGGGATCCCTTAGTACGGCAACCTTTTGGTTTTCCTTGGAACCACCGCGAGGGACGCCTTGCTTCGGCCGGCGAGGAGATGGCTCTGGATCAGATGGGCCCGCTCGCCAAGTTGGCCACCGAGGAGAAGGACGGACGACGACCCACGGACCCGCGCGAGCGTTTGCGCTCGCTAATTCAGGTTTCTTGAGGTCCCATATTCCAAGTTTGTAAGTTATGACAATAGATCGGACACCCACTCAAGATGCGAACACTTTGTGAATTAGACCGATTCACCTTTGTTGAAGTATCATGCAGGAATGATTCATGTTTTGCTGGAGGGAGTGCAAAGACAAGCTTCAACATGTGGGTGTTCGTGTGCGACAGCGCGCATTTGTTGAAATCTCCTGTGTGTTTCTGTGATTTTGAGATGTTTTGAGCGTCTGACCTTGATAAAAAGAACACCGACAGATCCACGTCGCCAGGCCCCGGCCGCGGCAGCACCGGTGGCTGTGGCACCTGCGAAGGTGGCGGTGGCAGTGGGCGCCGGGAGCCCAGAGCCTCTGAGCTTGTGGAAAGCCAAGGGATTTGGGTGGTGTGACAAGGGGACCACCAGGGCTGGGTGGTTTGTTGTTGGGTGGTTTTCATTTACACGAAACTCACACTCGTTTCTAGTCGAACAGATGCAAGACCTCTTGGAACAACGGACAAGTACCTTTCTAGATGCACTTCCCATTGATGTCTCACATGACGCCGATGTCGCCGTAATTGCACTGAACTGAGGAAGTTCTAGACATACCGTGGAAACTATTGCCCATTTGGCGCTCAATGAGACAAGAGCAGAAGCTGCCCAAACGGTCCTGTGAACCTTTTGGGGTTGCTCAGAGATCCTTATTTTGAAAAACAGGGCCTTCTTTGAACCCCCCTGCGGGGGGTCTTAACAAAGCCAAGGGAGGTTTGTTCAACATATCCACTAGACTATGGTCCAGTATACCACAGAGATCTGGGTAATCGACATTTTGACTCAGAAAAGCTTTGGCTTTGCGACCGAAATCTCATGAAAGGACCTTTCATGCGACTCGCGAGGAAAGTGTGGAGCCCGTGAAGCCAGCGCCGGCCCCACAGGCCGCTCCGCAGGCCGCGGACTTCAGAAGGTCAGAAGGCTGTTTTTAGGGTCCGTGGTGCCCCCGGTCACAAGGAAGCTAGGCCGTCCCTGGATTTCTCAGAATCCGCCAGATGTCGATAAAATAGGCACTGGGATACCACTCTCCTGCGCAAAAGAAGCATGAACACCGCCAATCCTGTGACTTCGGAGCCTTTCACTGGTCAAATGGCAGAGGGAGGGAGAACCGACGGCAACTGAAGTTTTTGGGTGCTAAAGAATGTGAAGAAGAGGAGATTTGTATTTTTGCAACTTTTCCAGCCCCTTCACACCCAGTTTTGAACTGGGACAGCCACGGCTGCAGCTCAAGCCAGGCGCCGCCTCCGCCCCCTCCACCACCGGCAGGTGGCTATGTAGGCAGGAACCATGCAGAGGAACTCGGGCCCCTTGTGCCAAGGATGCCCTGAGTAGCCGTAGGGTTGTCCAGCAACCAACGAGTCACACTGCTCGTTTGGCAATAGAGTTGTTAGTATTCAGTAGAAGTAGTAACACTGGCAAACTGGCGCTGGTATAAATTAGGCATTACTACACCCATAAACTGGGGACAACGACAGTCCTTCGATCACAGCATTTCATACCAATGAGTTGGACAACCATTGCGCTGATCCTTGAGGGAACCTCATGGCCTTCCGTTTTCCAAGCCTGCCACAGCGCTGGGGATGGCAAAGTTTCTGCCGGCTCAACTACGTACCCCTGGCCAGAAGTTTATGGGATGTATGCGTTTGTGCGGTGCGTCTGTGTTTGTTCCATATATTATACATGTGACATGCATAGTATATATAATATATATGACATAGTATATGCATGTTATATACAGTACACACATACACGTTTAGGAGCCTACGTGTGCGCCGTCGGCCATCCACCAGCCCGCTCGCCCCAACCCGCTTATCTCCGCGCCTCTGCGTTGAAGGCTTTCCTTGCTAACGACCGCGTGTGACAACACTACCTCGACGTGGCAGCGCAGTGGACAGCCCAACCCCGCAAATCATGGTTGACTGACGCGAACAGAGGCTTCTGAATGTAAATACGTTTATGTATGCGTAGTATGTATACACATATAATATACACATGTGTGCATCCATGCAGTACATGCCAGTGTTATACTAGTATTGGCAAGAGGACCCAAGCACAACATGGACATCCGGGGGCACACAGTTGGCCTTGCCCGGGATTCGCGGGCATAGTAGATGTTCTGTTCGATAGCCTGTCATTTGTTCGATTTGTTTGACGCCACGGCGTGCTGGCTTCCTCAAATAGGGGACCAAGAATGGTTTTGTTCCCTGTGGTCGGCCTTGACACAACATCTCCCTCGGAGAACGGCCTGCATCAGGCCCCTTGCAGAAAATGAGGCCCAAAGTGGGTTTGAGAAAACCAAGGTGTGTATGTGTGTGTGTGTGTGGCCCCCCTGTTTCTATGGGGTTTCCGCTGTCCTTTTGTGCTTGGAGTCGAACGCCACCTTGCTGGATGTCTCAACATGAAGTAGTGTCACCTACCGATGGCGTTCCTGAAGAGGATGGTCGGTGGCACGAAAGATGTTTGAGCATGCAGTAAGCCGAAACTCCATTGCCCTCGCGGAGACCTTCAAACAGCCTGTGCCTGCTTGGGGGCGCACCTTGGCAGTTTCGCCGTCTCATATCAAGTGTGTTTAGGCACTGCGTCCGGGCTTCGGTCAGTGTCTTGATCCCTGTTGTGGGCATCTGTTCCGACTCATGCAATGACATTTTCTACAGACAGTTACCGGACCTTGTCGCTCGTGACGCTTGACTGTTCCAGCTGACCTTCTCAATACAGGCTTGGACTTCTCCCAGACATTCCGGCACCCCAGACTGTTTCCGTGGATCTTTTTTCAGTCAGGCAAACTGTTTGACTACCCACCAGACCACCCGACACATCAGGCAAGAACTCATGACGCCGTCAGCTTGCTCTTGGCTCGCAATTGTCGGCAACAGATGCCACGCCCCAACGCAGGTCCGATGTCAAACTCAGCAGGCCCTATGTCGAAGGCCACCAATCACACAACGGGTCCTACGCCACCCAGGTCACCAGTGAGCCAGACAGCATCACCGAGCAGGAGTACACTTGTGGCACCGACCTTCAGCACTACTGGCACGTTGTCCGGCATCCCGATGGCCACAAACCCTTCGGCTCCATCCCCTGCTCCTCGTGTCGCAACGGTGCCTATTGCCGCTTCTCCCACCCGGCCTGGATCGGCTGCTGGCCCACTACCACAAATCCTGGTGAAGGCGCGCCCAGCAACCCCAACTACCCCAACGGCTCCAGCTACAGCATGTCCGACTCCGGCTACCGCACCGACCTCTACGGCAATCCTGCAGACTCCCACGGTCTCTCAGCAAGCGGCGGTATCAGGTCCTACACCTCCGCAGCCAGTTACAACGCCCTCGGCTCCCAACCAGGCCACCCCAGTAAAGCACCGACTCCGACACCTACGTCGTCGGCATCTCATCCATCCAGTCAGATGCTGCCACCGGCCAACCCACCGGCAAGACCACGCCGCACAACGGATGGCAAGCGATCACACTCCCACAAAGCTCCCCCCTACTCCAACAACGTCGGCAACAGCACCGACTCCGACACCTACGTCGTCGGCATCTCATCCATCCAGTCAGATGCTGCCACCGGCCAACCCACCGGCAAGACCACGCCGCACAACGGATGGCAAGCGATCGCACTCCCACAAAGCTCCCCCCTACTCCAACGAAGTCGAGCTCGCTCCAGGACGCCACCACCGATCTCCCGAAGGGACGCACGGTCGGATCGCTCATGCAAGGCAGCAGCAGCTCTCGCCACTTCCGCGACTTCAACGACTACAGCTTCATCCCGGCGACCTGATCTTGGAGTAGTGATGGTCCGAATTGACCTTCGCATAGGCCAAAGTGGAGTGCTGAGACGGTACTCCTGCTGCATTTAGGGTAGCGGCCACATAGTCCAGCTGCGCCTGATTAACCGGGATCCCGTCGCGGACGTGCTGCGAGGCAAGTACCTGAAGTTCTCCCCTCCACGGGTCTGACTGTGGGTTGGGGAGCAGGATCAGCGGTGGGTATGCCTGTGGATTCGGACGTGGCTGAGTGTTTCTCGAAAACAAATCTGTAACTGGATCAGCACTGGTGGTCTTAGGAGCTGGAGCCGATGGAGCACTGCTTCTGCTGCGCGGAAGTGGGGACCTGCTGCTTCCTCCACACTGGTTCATGCTGACCGTTCCCTACCTCGGCGCCACAGTTAGGCTCAAAGAACCAACGTCCATTATTGGTGGTACTCGCGGCATCCTGCGGACCCGACAGATCCATCCTTCCCGGCAACACAGTTCGGACTGCCCAGCCTTCTATGCCCAGGGATGGAAGATCACAGGACACCCCGACTATGATGCTGAAGAAGCAGCCCGGATGATGTCTCAGAACTGGAGTATGAGCTTCAACATGGCCCAACTGCTACTGTTCGGGCGCGCTGTCGGTACCTGTCAGCCGATTCGTGGAGGGGGAGAACGTGCTTGCATCGAGGCATTGGATTCCAGTGAACGTCCTGACGTCATACACTATGTTGCAGGCAAGTGTTGGCTGGTGATTCCAGAGGCCAGTCAGATCGTTGGACTCGCATGGCCCACCGACGCGCAACCACCCACGAATATTCTCCGCTCATGACCCTGCATCCGGCAATGATCGGCAGTCATTCTTTCTCTGAGCTGTATCGATGCGCTGGTCTTATTACACCTGCAACCCGATCAGACGAACTACTGCACCTGATGACATTTAATGATGTTTAATTGCAATACTCCATTGCCGTCTTCGCCCGCCGACAGCATTTTGCGACAAAAAGTGCACGCCGGGGCCTTCTGAAGCAAGCATGACTTTCTTTTGCCTGGCCTTCTTGACGTGTTTTCCCTGGTCTTGTGTTGATCCGCGTGTGTTGATCGCTTTCTTCTTAATCGGGGAAGTTTCCGGCTTCTGTTTTAAAACCTTTTGTCAACTTGTCAACCCGTGCCGCATGCCCAGCGTCTGGTCAATCAATCAGCCAGTGCCTGAGATAAGCAACCATCCCTTGATGGCTTCTCGGTGGCCCTACTCATGGCCGGCAACTTCGGCAACCCCTTCCTCGCAACCGATGTCTCCACATCTTCCATCATGCAGCCCCAGACAGCAGCCCACTCAAGCTCCAACCGGATGGAACCCATGCAGCGCCAACCTCGAGAGGAAGCAGTACCCCGCCGGGTCAATCCTCCTCGGCCTCCACATATGGCCTACCAGTTCCCACCGCAGCCCCCCAGCCAGTTCTACAACCATCATGGCGGTGGCACGACCAACATACAGACGGTTTCTCGGCCCCCACCACCAGCACCACCAGTTCAACTTCAACCTCGCGCGCCCCTAGGCCAAGGCGATGCAACGCAGTACACTCAGCCTCGCTATGCGCAACTTCTTCCCAGCACCTTTCAATCTGATGACACCTTTCTCGACAAAACGGAAGTCCGTGGCCTGCAGCTATACCATGGGTCGGCCTCGCTGGAACAGCAATTCTAGACCTTCCGTTGACGCGTCTTCTTCGTGGAGGAGCAGAAGATCACGCGCTCCGAGCGCTGTCGAACGGGAGGTACAGCACGCCGGTGATGGCTCAGACAATTGCCGAAGCAGTGCTAGTGACATCAATCCTCAAAGCCTTGCGAGGCAGGGAAGTCGACATCGATCGGACTGCCCGCTCCCTTCACCCGGACAATGCGCCAGACAAGCGCAATGAGGCCATGCAGTTCATGGAGCCGCTCGCGCTCAGAATCGTGGACCTCATGGAGTCCCTGCAGCCCGCCAAGCAGGAGAACCTCACCCGCCACAAAATTACCGAATTAGAACATCAGCTTGAGCGCTACAAGAGCAAGCGCATCACTCTCACTCCGGACAAGAAGCAGCCCTCTTCGCCTCCTTCCAATACCACTTCCTGGACTCCTACACCTAGGCCGTTCTGACCAGTCCCTCTCTATCAACAAAGCGATGTCGGATGCTCCTGGGCCCCCCTACCAGTCCCTTCTCCGGAGGCTGATCCAGCTCCCAAACGACGCCAGGCCAAGCGCAAGACTCCAGCGGCCGCCCCGCACATCGCCCTAGATCCAGAGCTTTTACGTCAGGGCAATCCCAAGGGCCAGCAGGTCCCACTTCCCACCAGTCTCACGGACAAGGTCTGCAAAGCGTGGTTGCAGGAACGCACGCTGTCCAACAGTTGAAAACCATTGCAGTCAAGTGGGGGGCGGCTATTTCGCTGGTGAGTAAGGGATCGAAACGAGCGCTCCTGCAGTTCATCACGGTACTGTACATGCTGGAGGGCATTAGCAAACTATGAACCGGCTGGCACAA